TTCACAAAGTGGTATTATGTTCAGAGAGGGGTGGAAAATCCTAAATAAGAGAATCATTTATTTAAAGAATATGACTTCAACATACTTGTATTTATACTATTTGGTACTCAGAACTTATAAATATTTTCATCTCCAGTACATTGGTAATAAATTCCCATATCACCATCGTAATTTCAAAGATAAAAAGGGTGCTTTGTTTCCAGAGAATTCACAAACCCCGAAGGCAATTATTTACTCAACAGTAAGGAAAACATCGTTCACATACAAAAAAAAAACATATAAAAAGGAATATGCATGACAATAATACAAATAAAAAAATAAATATAAATAACACAATCAACCAAGAAATAACAAACATGCAAAGACTTTAAAATAAATAAATAAGATAATGTCACTAAAGCTGCATAGAATCTGACCTCAATCTGCTGGAGCTTGGCTTGGAAAAGTTTTTCCCTATCCTCCTCCTGCAACAAAACAAGCTCCAATTAGCAAAAGACACAAACATGTGTTAATTAAACCAAAAACAGAATACTGTTGCACCTTTATAGTCCGACTATCAGGAGCTGGATGAGCAAGAACAAAAACACGATCGATCAAAACAATCACAGGTTCTTTCCCCAAACTTTTCCAAGGAACCTACATTATGTCAGTGACAGAGAAAAAAATAAAATGAAAAAACCATTTCAAAGCACAGGGATGAATTCAAGAGGTGAAAAAGTAAAAAGGAGAGTATTGTAAACCAGAAAGCGTTGACAAAAATAAAACAAAGTGCATTGAAATTTTGAAACCTTACATGCATGAGCATATGTCATGTGTTTACTTTTTTATACAAGCCTAAACACACATGTTAGTATGTACATATGTGTCTAATCATATAACTTTAGAAGTATAAAACACAAAGATGCATGAATGTATGTGTATGACTAACAAAACCAAGGTAAATGACCCAAAAGTTGGCAGCAGACAACCAGTAATGGTAAATGACTAAATGCTACCTTCAATGTAATGGTGCCAACAAAGCCAGCTTTGACAGTAACTGGGAGTTTTAGCGCATTTAGTGCCTCTGCCTTCAATTTCAAATCCTTGAGGACAACATCACCTGCAGATATCAAGTCTTGGTTGGAATAAAAACAAGCAAGACACCTCAATGGATTATAGAAAACCATTTTATAGTGAACTGAAACTTTACAAGCATTGTACACAAGACACAATTTCAACCCAACAATGTATTTTGTAAGAACATGATCTGATAAAAAAGATTAACAGGTGCACAATTGACAATACTTTCATACAAAAGCACATAAATAATAAAATGTATAGGTATGAAAATATGAAGTATATAAAACTACATCTAGAATATGCCTGGTGCATGCTTGCACCATAAAAAATAAATAAGCAAGTCTATCAGATTGCATTTCAAAGGAAAAATGTTCATGAAACTAATGACCTCAAAAATTGAAAAAAATAAATAAATAACATTTGGAAAAAACAAGCCGATCCCACAAAATACAAGGACAAAATATCTAAGGAGTAAGGACTCTACAGGGATGCTCCAATCAAACATACCACAAGCAGTCCAGTTGAAAGAGTATACTCAATCCTCCTTTGTACTCACAAACAACAAAACCTCTAAAATAGTTTATTTAAGAGGAAAAATAAAGAATTCCAAGCAATGCCAAAACCAATGTTATCTAAAAAAACATGCTTCATAACTGTCAATCTACCTCACAATGCAATAAGTTTTAACAGGTTTAAGCACTTCGAAAAAAAATCAGAATATATATTAGTCCACAATTTAATTTCAAATTGACAACTTATAAAGAAATTTAAGAAAATTGATAAGGAAGAGCCTCATCCATACAAAGTATAGAATGCATAAATGTGAAAAAAGAAACTGAGAGTGAAGTGTAAGAAAATGGCAGAATACAAACCCTTCCAGACACTTATTCTCAACGCCTCCGTGGAGAGTCCATGTACATATTCACCCAAATATCTTCGAAGCAAATGCAGAACCTGTCAACAAAGCAACATCTCATTGTTTAAAGGCATCAAATATGGCAAGAATTAGGAATGCAGCAGTGCTTTGCGCAGAAAGAAGCATAGTCTGTAATGTTTTGTTCACAAATCATGCAAACCAGAGCATCGCAATTACAAGATTCAAGCAATAAAACGTAACATACACACGCACGCACACACAGCAAATTCAAATCCGACTCCAAGATTCTTGCACAGAAGAAAAACAGGTAGCAGAAAGAAACATCGCGAACACACACACACACCAAATTCAAATCCAACTCCATTTTCTTGCGCAGAAGAAAGAAGTGCAGCAAAAAGAAGCATCACATACACACACACACATACATAGAAAATTCAAATTAAACTCCAAAATTCTTGCACCGAAGAAAGACAACTAGCAAAAAGTAACATAGCGCACGCGCACAGAAAATCCAAATTCAAATCAAGATTATTGCACAAAAGAGAGACGAACAGCAAAAAGAACATCGCAAACACAAACACACGCACCGCAAATTAAAATTGAAGTTCAAAATTCTTGCAGAAAAGAGTGACAAGAAAAATGAAATATCGGTGATGAATAGAAAATTAAAATTGCAGTTAAAGATTCTTGCAGAAAAGAGTAAGGAGGGAAAATCTCACGTGAGCTTCGAACATGGTGATGAATCGGAGGTGCGATCAATCCAGAAAATGCAAAGGATGCATGATGATGAAGAAATTAGCGATTGGAAAAATGCAGAGAGAATAATAAATTAGGGCTTGATCTTGAAAGTGGCGTCCCTGAGATGCGGACGGTTAAATGGAAGAAATGAAATGAAATGAAATGAAATGAAGGGAATGAAAAATTTTGGTCTGAAAGCTTCGCTATATACTTATATAGGTCCCGGTCACTCCAAGTTTACGAGTGGGACATGTCATGACGCCAGAACCTGGTACTCGCACCGGCTTTGCGGTCCACTTAAAATTTCACTAAAATTGTCTTTTTCTTCTTTCTTTTATCTTTTTTTTAATTTTTTATAATAAAAATGTTTTTTTAATATTTAAAATTTCTCTTGGAAGTTATTTTTCATTTGGTTGGATTTACATTATTTCAAGAATTACGATGAAAATAATTTAAACTAAATAAATTTTTAGTACCTTTTATACAGTATTTTTTTTTTATTTTGCATTGACTAATGTAAATTTTAAAATGTCATAAATTAAATTTTATATGCGAAACCAATATGAAATATTAATACCAACGATTATTTGACTATGTTTAAAATTTTTATAAGTAATTTATTTAATAATTCTCTTAGTAAAAAGAAGTTTCATTTTTTATGTATTTCTAAACAGAATGACAAGGCCACGAAAGTATTAATCATTTTAATTTTTGAGAAACGAATTTTTAATTTTTTTTGTATTTTTCTCGTTGTATTGCCGAACAGTAATTTTGTTTTAATCGCAAAACAAACACCAAAATCAATTTTCACGTTGTCTTAAACCCAAAAAATAGACAGTTATAAAATTTAACAACGTATATGAGTAACAATATTGAAAAATAAATAAATACGAATATTGTATAATAATTATGCATAAAAAAAAAAAAATACCGTCCATTTAATTGGATATTGACGTCAGACAAATAAGGTATTAATTCTATAATCATTTTGTCTCCGTCTTAGTTGGACTGTATGTTGAGACTTTGTCCATAGCACTAGTGTCAATTAACTCTTCTTGTAATTTTTCTTGATTTTCTTTCTATAACTAAAATGAAAATCTAATTTTTATTGTCATCTATGCCGGCCATTTGTATTCATCTGACCACTACGTAATCACATAATTAGGTTAATATCAAAAACATAAAATTTCCATTTTAGGGATGCAATGCAAGAACCTGAAGGCAATGGATTTAAAACTGGATTAACTTACTTCGAAACTATGCAGTATACTTAAGGCAGTCCACGACATGTATTTAATCGCGAATGGCTGTTTTCATAGCTTTATTTCAACTTGAGCAATGAAAAGTTATTTATCTCGTTATAAAATTAGAAAAAAAAATTATTTTTTCTAATAATAACACTTGTCATTTTTTAATAAATTTCGTTATAAAATTAGCACAATTTATGAAAAATTGACAAGTGACATAAATTGAGTGCAATGCAAGAATAATATAACAAAACTTATTTATCTCTTAAATATTTTCATGCAGAAGTATATATTTAATATATATAATTAGTAATTTGTAATAATTAAGTTAATAATTTAAACTTTTTTTATTAAAAAGTATTACTAATTTGTATTAAATTATAAAATAAAATTTTTTATAGTTGATATTTGTATAAAAAATATAATTATAAATTCAAATTTATATCATTATGATATAATAATAATTTATAAATAAAAATATAAACTATTATAATAAAGTTGATATTTGTATTATTATGTTAGAAATATATATATATATATATATATATATATATATATTAAAAATGTACCTACATGAAAATAATTAAAGAATAATCAAGTTTGCTACATTATTTACGTATTATATCAAACTGGTATAACGTATCAACTCCCTGTAAGTTATGTCATTTTACATACTATTAATAAGTGTCAAGATCTTACTTATCTCGCAAGTGACAAAATTTATTTTAAAAAAATATATAATTCAACAATTTTGCCAACCGTATTGACAAAATTTTTGTCACGTGGCCAAATTTACTCCAAACAGATAAATAATTTGAAAAAACAATAAATAAAGAATTTGTTTTTAGATTATATTATTTAAATAAAAAAAGCCCATTTTAATACTTAAAAATAATAACAATAACTATCTCTGATGTAAAACAACCACCATTTATCCCTGAAAATTATCAAACAGAAAAAGAATAAATGACCTACCGTTAATTTTAAAGACTAAATTTTAAATTAAATTAACCGATGTTCATAATTCAAGAACCAAGTTAGTGTGTTATTTGAGACAATAATCTGTAATGCCTCTGCCAATGCATTTACTTCAATATTATTATAGGTGTGAACGATTCCTATCCTACAATTAAAAAAGAGATAATCCTACTTACAAATTCACTGCACTAAACTTTATATTTGGTCACATATACTGCATCAACTGCCCCTGTTAAGAATGAAATGTTCAAATAAGGACGGGGCAAGCCATTAAAGGCATCAACAAACATTATTTACTACAAGGAAATACGAGCCACTTCACTCACTTCCTTTCACAGAGACCTCTTACACGTTGCAAAACACGAACAGATTCACAGAACACTGAAAAATCAAGAGCTGAGAGACTTAAATCAGGCCGAACGCCTGAACTAGAGTGAGAGCATGGGTTCTGATAAATTACAAGGTCAAAACCACCAAACTTACTGATTAAATTCTCAAGCTTTTTACTAGTAAGTTTTTGAACGTCTTCAATCTGAACCAAAGTCCCAGTTTGTCTAGAACTATGCCACCACCTATCAAGAATCTTCCTCTTGGTCTCAGAAGTCTCAACTGAGACGACAGCTTTTAGTTTAATACCAAGGCGATGTAGGGCAATTTCTGCCCCACTTATACCACTAAAAAGTGATAACATTGTCAATCCACAAGGGAAAATGGGCTTCAACACAGAAAGGTGGTATCCCAATGCGTCTGTCTGGAAGCAGTATTTCAGTGATTTAAGTCTTTCGGTCACATTGGCCTCAGCAGCACGAGTGTGATTCACAGGGTAGCCTAAAATAAGCTCCAACTGCTCAGGCTCTACAGGACCCAGTTTGTATTTACCAGTCCACATAAGATTCAATCCACGGCAATAAAAAAGAATGTCTTTCTGCTGTTCAGACGTGAGCACTCCACCAGAATCAGCTAGAGTCCTTCCTAGCCTATCACAAAGTTGTGCTATTCCACTAGTTTCACAATAGATGCTGCTCAACTGCTTCCTTGAATCCCAAGGTGGCCACCATTTCTTTGTCCGCGGTATTGCATCTTCGATAGTCATAGGTGGCTTTGGAAGGATGTGGAACCTGTTTTCAGCTGGAAGATTGTGTATATAGCCTTCTATTCTATTTAAAGCAGAAAAGAACTGAGTATTCACAAATTCAGGCTCAATACCATATAAAAACTGAGACATTTTGGCCCATGAGACATAGGATATGTTTGAAACATTCCCAAATAAGAAAAATGGTGGCTTTGCTGCCACACTACTAAGACACCTGGATGGGTTTAATTTGCGAAGTGACATTTCAGCAACAACAGTATCAACCTTTTCTTCCACCCAATATGGATCAAGACAAGAGCTTGAATCATCGTTATATTCATATTTGGGCCTCTTACCTCTATCGTTCTCCATAAAATCTAAATATCTCATGTCAGAAACAACACTTGGAAATTCATCAATATACTCTTCTTCCTTCACCCTTTTACCATTGTACACTTCCTCAAAGTTAATCCGGCTAGATTGTGGAGGTTCATGGCTAAAGTTCTCAGCTTTCACTTCTGTTGTACCATATAAATCCATTTCCGGTTCATCTTTGACCACCCAAGGATAAGTAGAAGTGGTGGGATACTAGACAAGCAAGAAATATTGGCTCACTAACAAGTCACGAAAATCTGATTGTATGAAGCAATGCTCCTTATTGTTGAAATCATGCATACCATTACACAAACACAAGCTAAATTACAAAAAAAAAACAAAAACAAAAAAAAAACGATAGAATATATAATTTGAAATATGATAAGTATAATAAAATTCCAACCTTATATTCCATTACATAATCGATCCCATTTTGTTCTGCAAAAATAAAGTTTGCAAGCTCTGAAATTGGAGCTTCTGGACCTATAAAACACCCAATAGTGAGTTAACGATGCAGAGACTAATAAGCAAACAGTAAGTCATGACAAAGGAAATAAATGGAAAGGAATAGATAGCACTTTCCAGATCTATACAGGACAATGACATTATTTCTATTCCAAGGATGTCATCTCATAACTCTAGAGATAAATACTTTTAAAAGGCAAAACTACAACCTAATCTCACAGCTGCAAAGCTCACAAAAGATCAGCTTTCACAAACATTTACCTAATTTATCAATTGCTGATGATACTTCATTCTCAGAGAAGCCCATTTCAAACAATTGAAGTGTCTTTGCCATAATTCCAAAGAGTTTTTCATTGCTAGCCTGCGATCCCACAAGTAACTAAAATTACAAGCATAATAAGAGGGCAAATTTCTTGATGGGAAATAGAATTAGAAAAAAGGGGATCGATCACCACTACTCGTCGAACTAAAACAACGATAAACTAAATTAAATCTAAGAATAAAGGGGGAAAGGAAAAGCTATTTAATACAAAGGTCCAGTTTGGATAAACTTCTAGAGGAGTCCTTATAAGAGAAAAAACAATAGTATTAAAAATGAATAAAATTTCTTTCATCAATTAGAAATAACTTACGTATCCCAATTTTTTAGAAGTTCTATCATTTAACTTACATAAAATTTGAAGAGATAATTTGTTTCTAATTTATGAGAGAAGTTTTATTCATTTTTATAAAGACTTCTTTATAAGTTTACCAAAACTGGACCAAAATCTATATAATAAAGCTATCTGACTTGTCAGCATATCAGCTAAGGAAAGACCTTGATAAAAGTCATGAGCAGAATCTTCTACAAACCCCATCAATACAAATTAATAAAGCTATCATAATCTTCCCTCACTCTGAAAGGTATTTTACATGTTCGAGGAAAAAAAATGCAGGATAGTTGTGTTGAATAAAAAAATCATTAACGGTTCAATTATGGCTTCTTGAAAGGCACCCATGACAATAACATCGCCATTTGATAAGCTTCCAACAAGACATAACCAATGGGATCATCATTACTAAATGCAAAAAGGTTCATCCATACTAAGGAGACCTGTTTTAGATTTCATGGAAAAGACAAAGTCCTATATTCGCTCTATAGGGTTCAACGGCATTAAACCAAGGTACACTAATCAAACCATGCCTGACTTAGATGTTGTAAGTGAAAATCCACTTGTACCACAATCTGATGAAGAAACTCCAGTCCTTAACAAAGCTGAGATGGAATGTCTACAGGCCCTCATGACTCATTAATGTGCTTTCTACCACTGGTTCTATAGCCACATATTTGTAAAGAGTCTCAGTTTCTTATCCTTAAAGTTTCTTGTATTGTATTTATAAATCTTTAAATTATGGACCCTCATTTCTTGTTTCTTATTATACTTTACTTTGCTAGTAAGCATCACAATGACATTGATAATGGATCACACACCTGTTTTCAGGCATGGTACTCTTAATTTCAACTTTCCCTTTACTTGAATCATGTCGTTAGTGTTTTATAATTATACAATAATCTTGTCTCCCCTCATAAACTTATTCAAAATTTGAATCATGTACATCTTGTTACAAAAAAGATGATAAGAATTGCTAAGGAATAGGAAGATTTATTCTATTTGTACAGCATGAAGATTAAAAGTTGTGCTAGTAAGCAAGCGTTCACTTCCCATTTCAATACCAGTGTCTTGGACGTCCTCATTTAATTATATTGGGTTAATTCACATTTTATGATCATAAGGGTTAATTCTCGCAGGTTTTATGATCGTATCATCACATTGTAATACAGCATATCATATCAAGGTAATATCAAACTCATAACATTCAGTCTCTCTCCTCTCCTTTGTCTCTATACCTAAAACTCTGTAATTTCAACAGCAACAAAAAAACTACTCATAGGTAGAATTCATGAAAGAATATATATTTTCCCCTCTTAATGTCTTGCTAGTTGCTCATTTGTTTGCATTATTTTTTTTATTTTTTTTTTTGCATAAAGTTAACAACATTGTCCACACTATTTTGTCTAATGGATAATAAAGTTGTGGATTAAATTTAAATCTGACAGGCAAAAGCACAGTTTTTATTGACTGCAAAAGCTCATTAAGTGGGTCAAATATCAAAACCTCATTTCCTCTGTCATAACAGATAACATCATCTGGTTCCTTTTTCATCTTTTTAGCAATCTGGGCAGCAATGATGAAGTCCACCAGCTCAGGAACTGATGCTTCAACACCTATAGAAAAATAATTATTTAAAAAATCCTTCCCGATGCAAGCAGTCCAAAAATGTTGAGATGAAGTTATATCTATAAAAGTATACAAACTGCCAAAACAGTTAATTAGACCTCAGACAATCACTGAGAACAAAGCCACATAAAAGGAAGTCTATAACCTGACATATTCAAAAACTTGCTTAAATTATTCACACTTAGAATCATTTTCAATTTTTGTCAAGAGACCAAAAATGACTGGACAAACCTAAGATGTAAATTATCATAAGCACAAATTGTATAGAATATTCCCAACATCTATAGACAAATTCAATTCAATATATGCTGAACTTTGGTTTTCTGTTCACGCAATTTGTCCTGGTATTACTAGCATGTCCAAGCACACAGGCTGGAAATAATAATTCAAGCAAACATACTTATTGAAATCCTGGACTACTTCCTTCAAAACTTAAAAAGACCTATATATACAATATATGTTTCTAGGTCAATTACGACAAGAATAACTGATAAAAAATCATTTACAACCCAAATAAAATCACAAAGTATTCATCGATGACACAAAGCAGCAGTGCCGGTAAATATGTACATTCACATACCAAGCTTTTGGAATGCAAGGTCAACTTCCTCCACAGAGAAATTCATCATCAATAGGGTACCTCTTTTATCATCAATAACTTCACTAAGTTCATCAGGCTCCTGCAAGAGAGATTTTGTCAAACAAGAATAGAATCAAGTTGAACTAAACAAAACACATGCTATTTTAAGGAGCATGTTAAAAATAGAAAGAACATTTTACTAGCAAGCACAATAAAGAGGCCGAAGGTAAAGGTCAACACGGACAAGCAAAAATATACAATGCATAGTTAATTGTAAAAAAGGAAATGAATCACCTGTCAGAAAATGTGACAATCAGTGATCTCAACTTTAGAAGGTGTATATGGTATACGCCACAAACAGGTGCCACAACACTATTATCAAAATCATAAAGATTCCGATTCATTACAAGCAAGTCAATGCAATTCAAAGTTCCAACAGTGGTAGGCAAATCATATTTGATGCTGAATCACAATATGAATCGTATTAGAGTTGATTGAACTGCAATAAATTTCTGAATCATGTGACTCTATGTGCAACAAGGACATACATGTAACTGGGTCAGCTCATGCACAATCCAGATCTGGAAATCTCAAAAATAAAAAACGCATTCCGTTGTATTGAAAAAATTGTGCAAAAAGAAAAGGAAACAGCCAATCTTCTCCCTCCATTAATATGACCCACATGAAACATTGAAGATAGAAACCTTATTTTTCTTCTCCACCTCTGCCTCTCCTCAAACACTAGAGTGCCACATGCGCTTCAGATAATCTTTGTCCTTGTATTTGTTATCCATACCATATATGCAACAAATTGGTGACCTACAGTTAATAGCATGCTATCACACCGATTTAGAGGCATCACATTGCGTTGTGGTGGCCGGGTGCTATTTGAAGCCCGTCTTGCCGTCTCAGAGGATTTTAACATAGCGCCTGTAGCAGGCACTATAGCGCTGGAAATTGCAGCATTTTGCAGGCATTTTGGCCATCAGGGAGAAATATTATCAAAGCCCAAATATGCCCTTACTTTTTAAGGTTGCAAAGGCACTTTTGGGGTAATTTGGGTTTTCAAGTCTAAATAAAAATCTTTAAATGGGTTCAGAGAAACCCATCATCTCTCTCCCCCATTTTCACACCTCTGTTCTCTGATACTTCTGTTTGTTTCTGTGCGACCCAACAACTCAGCTCTCTGATGACTTTATGGCCAACTCCTGGTGTTTTCAGTCAAAACCAAGTTCTCTGTGTTTTTCTTGTTGTTTGGCAACTGTCCCACAGGTTGTTGGCATCTCTTATCTTCTTCTCTTTCCACAGGTTTTTGGCATCTGTCCCACATATTGTCAGCAACTCACAGCTATTCTAGTATTTGCTTTTTAAACTTTTGAGCATTTATACATATAGTATAAATTATGTAATTATACAATAAAAAATTCAGAATAGTGGTCATCCCACTATATGATATCCCCTATAGTATTTTTTTGGATTGACTGCTGCCTGCTGCTATCCAACATTGATAATTATGTGGTGACCACAACTTTAGACAATGTATATGGTATATGCAAGAAACCCACACCATTTAAATAAACAATTTATACAGTTTTCAAGGTTGCAAAAAAAATTCTAAAAAACAATTATTCAAAAGAAACATTGATTTGGAACTTTGTATGACATAAGAGTACACCTGAACATCAATGAAAAATTAAACCAACAAACAGTGGCAGATTACAGCAAGCACAATTATTCGAGTTCAAATATTCAACTGATTCCAACCATGATTGTTCCCTGATTAAATTTTGTAATAAAAAAACTGATGTTCCTTGAAGAATAAGAAGCAAGTACCTCTTTTGGTTGATTGAGCATGGAAATTTCAGGAGGATCCTTGTCATCAAACAAGCTATCCAGAGAATCAGAAGACTGTGAATATGACTTTTGAAGAGCCTATATAATAGCAAAGCAAGAAGACCGTTAATTAAAAGTTTTACGTAAACCATTCACACAATCAATCCCTAGAAGGCTAAAAATTCAGTTGGAGGGGTGACAAAAGGGACCAAGTTACCTCTTTTGAGTGATCATCAGGACAGAAATTTGGGGCATTTCTCTGACCCCTGCTTGTATTAAGAGAGCCATCCAAAGAATCAGATGACTCATAATTGGATTTATGAGCCTGAATCATTGGATATCAATAGTCACCATCACCGATCAGAATATTTAGTCCAAAATTCATAAAACATATAGGCTGCGGTATTAACATATCAAGGGAGCAAGCTCACACACACTGTCATATATATATATATATATATATATATATATATATATATATATATTCCTTACGTAGTATTTACTATGTACTTCAGCAAATAGATAGAAAATAAAGTCAAGAAGAATATATTAAATTATGAAGGGTAAATTTTCATTTTAGTCCTCTAAAGGTATACTCAACATCACATTAGATTTTTAAGTGACATCAAATTGGTCTTTTGATGACAATTAATGCCATCAACTTCATCCTTGTATGGACCAATTTGGTGGAATCAATTGATATTTGATAATGAAGGACAGTTTGATGTATTTATAAAATAGGACTAATTTGATAATATAAACTAGAAAGAAAATGATATACTTTAAACTGAAACAGAAAAATATAATACAGAGTCCTCTCTTATAAAAGAGATAGGGTGTAAATCCAGGAGATAGTTGTCGACCTCCCTAAAACATGAGGTTACATTTATCACTAGTGACAAACATCTACACTTACACTATCCAGAGTCCTATTATCCGGAACTTCAAATTTGAAACCTCATTTGACTCTTTCAACACTCCCACTCTAGCTAGCTTGAAAATTCTTCAATAGACAGCACTACTAAAGTTCTTCTTAGACAGCCGCCTTGATGAGAACACCAGCAACTTCCTCTGTTGAAGGGACATAAGGTATGCAGATCTATCCATTTTCTATTTCCACATAATCTCACAAATTCCATTGAGCAATCAATATAAATTCTGCTTCATCACTACACCTAGCAACCATATTTTGTTTCTTACTTTGCCATGCAACGGGGTTCCCACTAACAAATGCACAATAACTAGAAACAGAAATTCTGATAATGGTACTGCCAGTCCAATCTGCACAGGTGTAGGCTTCTATTTGCAAATATCCATACTTCTTAAACAGTAATACTCTTCCTGGTGATCATTCGAGATACTCCAAAGTTCTATAAAGTATAAACAACATCAAAGTGTTCTAGTCCAGGTGAGTACATGAATTAGCTTACCAAGCTAACTGCAAAAGATACATCCAGATGAGTATGAGATAAATAAATCCTCTCCCAACCAATCTGTGATATCTTTTTCTATCTTCCACTTCCACGGTCTTTGCAGGTATCATCTTTGTATTAGGCTCAATAAGAGTTAGAATTGGAAAGCTCCAGACTCTTTCAATACCCTATATCGTTGGAGACCAGAAAGAATTAAGGCATAGTACAGTCCTAGCATTTGAGGGTTACCTTCCTCTGACAGCTGAACAGGTAGCAAGCAACCTAAATAGCTCATACCAAAAGTAACAACTGTTGCAAATTAAGGTGTTTCATTTACCCGTTATTTACTTAAACTGCAGGTATAATATTACACTGGATATCTGGTAAAATGACAATTTAAGAATAAAACAAACTTTGAAAAAAAGGGAACGGTGCACAAGACCCCCACCGTTGTGAGGATCGGGGAAGTTGTTCCACACTAGAATCCATGACTACCAAGTCAAATATTTGAGTCTTCTAAAAGTATATATATGGATACTCAGTTTTTTTTTTTTTTTTTTTTTTTTAACAATTTTTCTACTTTGTACAAGCAATATGCAATTCAAGGAATGTGCTCTTAAAATGATAATTTGAATCCTTCATATTGCATATCTGCCTGCAGGAACTAACATTTGTCATCTCAATGAACACGCAGAACATCATTCAGTATTTATCACTAGTTATAAATTTAAACAAACAAATAAATGCATCAAAACTTTCCAAATCATAATCTCAAGAATACCAATAATTAAAAGCACACTATAACATATACTTTAATCTACTTACAGAACATCTCAAGAGAGCCTCTAGTAAAATTTCAGAGTTTTCTTCACCTACAGATTTCAAAGGAAACCAATCAGAACCATAGTAGGCAAAATGAAATATATTAGAAGTTCCTCATGTCCCATCCATTTAGTGCAAGTCAAGAGCATCCTGTTCACACATAATATACCATTGTCCTCTATCACTTTATCAACAAGGCATGGTTGGAATCCCATTCCAATAAAGAATGCTCGTAGTTTGCCTCCAGATGAACTTGCAACATTGTCCTGGTAATTATGAAGGAAGAAGATAAACATGAGCAGACAAAGAAGAATGAAAATTCAATAAAGACAATTTTTTTATCAAGGTGTATGCTACTATACATAGTGAACAGTAGAAGAAAAATCTCTCATCATGTTTTAATGTATGCACAGCTGTACCCAGAGAGTTCATAAAACTGGCACAATAAGGGTTAAATTAAACAAACACAATCAGTAAAGACTTTTGAATCACTTATAATGTCATATACAAAAACTAGATCCCTTTCACACTTGGGGCTAACATCTATGTACATTGTTCATTGCATGGATCTTTACTAACGATTTCAATTCAATTGGAATTTGGTTGCCACATTTTAATTAGTTTCCTTGTCAAATTACCTCGGGATAAGATCTTATGTAAGAAAATAAAAGGCTGAGTAGCATAGGTTGGAAACTATAGTGAAAACTGACTCAATATTTGCTTTACTTAACTCATGATTGATTTACATACACCAAGGAAGTTGGTTACACAGGAATCTTTTGGAGATATGAATAAAAAATATGCATAGGCCAACATCTTACTGCTTCAGCTTTGGATCAACTTGCTCCTTGACATGGATTCTACGCCTCTCTAACCAGTACAGTCAATATCTCAAACTTGCTGCCCCTAATCTTATAAGTTATAAATAAAATAAATTTTAGCACAAGGAAGTAATGGACCTACCTACATGTCAAGCCAGAAGAGCTATCCCATGAGACAATTTGCTAGAGATTTTAACCAAAATTCATCTTAGGCTTGTATCAAATAGTTTAAGCTTTTGTGGTGAATAGTTTCTTGAAAATATTAGTTGAGAAAGGTATCATGTAAGTATTTGACCAAAGTTAATTTAGTTGTTCAAATGTATCCTGCTTAACATCAGGAAGCTATAAGGTTCAGTTGAGGAGAAAGAGAAAAAATGTGGGCTACAGGCGTCACAAGATACGATTAATAGCATCTAAGACTCCAAACGTGTGAGTGTGGATTAAGACATCTGCAGCCTACCCCAACATCCCCTGCAGATGTAGTATACGATGGTAATTCATAATCCAAGTCCTCAGTTTTTGGAACTGTAGCAGTTTTTCCTTCTCCATTTGAATTCCCCGCCATTTCACCTGTATATTTAAGCGACAGATTGTGAATGCATCAGTACATAAGGTATATCTGCATACTAGCTAGTGGAATGTCTCACATAAATTATAAGAAAACTTTGCATGTGTTTAAATTTGCAGAAAAATTAAAACCATACTCGCAATGAAATAAAACATTTTGAACAACACCAACAGGGTAGAAAATACACTTTAAATTTTTAAATGTGTTTGTTTGTGCTGTAAGAATAACAGTGTCAGAAGAAGAAGAAAAAAACATATGCTTGATTATTTTGAGATGCAGTTCTAAGTAGCTTTAAAAAAAATTATAATTAACAATTGGAGAAACAGAATTGGTTTCAGAGTGTGATCGAAAATCGAATGAGAAAGGGAAAGCCCAAGGACAATGGTTGGATTCAGGTTCATGCAGAAACTGAAATAATGGCAAAACGGAAAGCATTAAACGGAAAAAGTTGTGTGGGAGAGAAATGCAAATGCATACTGCGATTGGAGAATACCTGATGCAGGTGCGGGCGCGTCGTATGCACTCGCTCCACTCCCAAGTCGAGAGAACTGAACCTAACACAGCACAACACAAGAGTAACGGTGGTAGTAAAAGTAAAGAGAAAGGAACCAAATATATAATATATTCACTGCGCGCACCACAAGTGACAAGACAAAGACTCAAAGGGTCCCATGCCATGCCATCTCAACTCACTCACTCTGTCACACGTCAGAGTAGTGTGTGGGCTGAAATGGACCCCAATACCCACTTCCACTTAGGCCCATCATCACCTCACTTAGAACTCTAGCAAATCCTGAAAAAGAAAATATACTCCACAATCCCAATTTATGCTGTTTACAACATAGAAGCTCTTCACTCTTTCCCCTTTTTACTAATGACACTATTCATGGTCCATATTTTTTCTATTCGTTTTTGTTTATTATTTCATTTTTTTAATTTCTCATATACAGTAAAAATAAATTAAAATAAAAAAGTGTATTTTTAACTTGATCTGAATTTTCAGCATTAATTAGAATTTTGTATAAAGAAATGAAAAAAAAATTCTTAACCTTAATATGGTTATTGTTTAACATTTGTGCATTAAAAAGATATGAAGCTGATATTTAGTGTGTAAATTCAATAAGAATCAACAAAAATTCCGAACAATAACATTTTCTTTATGTTAAAAAAATGTACATATAATTTTATTTTTTTGTCAGCCCGATTAATTTCTAACATTATGTAATCTTTTGTATATTAAAAACTAAGTTAAACATATTTTTAATCTCCAAAAATTTATACTTTTACACGTCTTTAAAAGTCATTTTCAAGACTAATACCACTCTATTTTACGATAAATGCAAGGAATTAAAGCCAAAACAAACAATACAAGACAATATTACAAAAAAAAAAAATTATAATATTCTTTTAAGATTAAAATACATTTTATTTCCAAATCCAATCTAGTTATATTGGTAAAATTTTATCTTTAACAATAACATACGTATATCAAATGACAAATCATGTTAAAATTTTGTACCAAAATAAATTACCAAGCTCCTTGTTTAAAAAACTTTCGTAGATGATTACTAAATTATTTAAAATACATTTAAATATACAACTTAATACTTTTATAATAAGTTATTTTTAAATTATTAGACTATAAATTTTGAAATAAATAAAAAATAATGTTAAATTATACCAAAAAACATAAGTTAAAAAAAAACAGTAAGAATCATAAGTTATTTCATAAATTCATTCAAATGAACTTTTTTTAAAAGGAAATTTTTTATCTATATAAAAAACATTATTACAAAATAAGTAAGTCAAATAAGTTTTCATTGACATATATACATTGTTAAAATGTAGGACTCAGGCTTAAATTTCAACAGATGAATATGTACCGAAGGATAAAACACTAGACTGACTTCACTACATACATAAAAAAATGAACCCGAGATGGGCTCAGCATTATTATATTTTCTTGAAGAGCTTCCATGGATTCAATCGTAACTTTTGTTGGTTCAAATCAAATCAAACTAAAATACATTCAAGGAAACAAGACGACGAATGAAAATCTCGAAATACGGAACAATTACAGAAATCGAAGGTTGCAGGGAAGTTTTGGCTAGTTCAATAATAGAGTGAACGAAAACCTGCGACGAAGTAACATCCCTGGATATTGGTCGTTGACACACAAAATACGAAAATGGTTACACAACTTCCTTAAAATGCTTTTGGAATGGGACCTCTCAAAAGATTCAAGACATCAGTATGACCTTTCATCGATTAGTAGCAAATAAGAAAGCGGTAAAATAAAGATTGAAAAGAAACCCAACTTCCCAGACAAGATACCATCAGGCAGACATCAATCCATTTTTTACCAAAGATCCAGATAGTGCCTTGACATTTACAAGCAAACTTTAACGGTGAGATCCATTTTTAACACGAGTACCTCCGTCAAGCTGTAGTGATCTTGGATCAAGTGCAATACTCCCAACCTTCAAAAAACTGGAAGACTCTGCAAATCCATTAACTTTGACTTGCATTGAGCCTACTGTCAGAACATCGATTGGTTCTTTATTAGCAACACTAATCCCAGATGGTTCAGTCTCCGTCTGTTTTGGGGTAATAGTGACTGAACCAATCTTTAAGACAGAAGAAATATCCTCTTTCCTCGCTGCACCTCTCTCGGCCTTTTCATCAAGAGATGTAATTCCAGTTACATCATCAACACTTGAAATTGAAGTCTGTTTTAAGTTATCAAACTCGTCATCCATTTTTGAATTCTTCTCCTCACTGGCTAGAGGAATGTCAATGACATAATTCAACTTCCGAGGTGGTTCCAATGTGGGTACCAATAATGGATTTCCAAAACTTTTTATTCGCAACTTGGCTTTCTCTTCCTGCATGATCTTTTGCCGGTCTTCATAATACATAAAGTCATCAAGCAAAGATGTCTTCAAACTATGGTTTTTGAATATTTTCAGCATTTCCAAACCTTTACTAAACATTATCTGCACATGAGGAATGGGGTTTACAGTCAAAACTAGATAATAGTGAGGGATAAAAGCATGCCCCATGCAAAATCTACCAAAGGCAACAAAATCAGAACACAATTTAAACATAAATACGTAACAGCTTCTCCCAAAATTAAAAATATACAAAAAAAAATTCAGGTTAATTCAATCAAGTAACAGATGTATGACAACAATCCAAAAGCCTCTACACAATCAAGCGTGTGTGTGCATGTGTCTGGGCATATGGGTGGGTGGTATGGACCTATTTACTCAATAGCCCCCCCTCCCCCCCCCCCCTTCTCTCTCTCTCTCTCAAATGAGACACACCATGTTCACAAATTTAAACAATTGCACTACACAGCCAACAGGTTCAACCCACTTGGTCAGGTCAGGTAAAAACTAACTCAAACGTTAATGCTAAATGCTTATGGGTAGTTGAGCATGCTTGTCAATTCTACACTGTGAAAGGGCCTACTGAACATCAAAACAAATATGCATACCTCCTGTGTATCTCTGCTATTAGTTACAGGCTTGTTCTCGTTGTTCTCCAGTATAATGTGCCTAAAATTTGCATTTGGCACATCTTTTATGATGTGCCACTTTACAGCGAAACTCCCACACCATTTATCTTGCTGCCAAAAGTCCATATCCTTATTGAAGTCAACAGGACCAACCATCTCAGCAACCCCACAAAATTGACCGCTTGCATTAACCTACATTGACAAAAAAAAATCAGTATGATCAACAGAAGGAAAATTTACAGTTGTGCATAAAGTTATAGATAAGCAGAACAGAAATAAGCACACAAAACTGATTAAATACATCATCATAAAAACTCACAGAAAAGAAGAGAAAGATAGGACAGCCTCCAGAATTTCCACCCGCTATTCTCTTAGCATCTTCATAAGCATTCTGCAGCTTCTTGTTTCCATGAGGTGTTGATGACCACACATTATATTTGATACTCTTATGCACGTCATCCTCACTGTATGATTTTATAACCAAAAACTTTGCATTTTCATTGTTGACAGGAAAATCCTCCCTGTTATACTGATCAGTATAAATGATGATGTTCTCTTGTGTATTGCCATCTCCTGCTTTGTTTGAATAGGCCTTGACAGCCAGCTGATGTTTTGACCTACTAATTCTTGGGCCCCGATTTTGCTCACCCAAAACATCAGAACTTCCATTTAAATCACTCTGTCCTTTACTAACCTGAACCTTTGGCCGAAATTTAGCAACTGCAGACTGTCCATTTGCACTAAATCCATATTCAGAATATCCACTACTACGAGGGGGAGCTACTTTCAATTGATTATGGCGGGACAAAACATTTCCATTGGAAATAGTATCTAAAGGATGGATAGAGGTATCAACAGTTCTGGCCTACAAAGTCAAAAAAGGTCAAAACTATCATGCATATTCAGGAAAATTATAAAAAAAGATTAACAGAATTGATTTCCAAGAACTGAAACAAGTCACCAAAAATTAATGATAAAATGAGCCAATTTGGATAAATTTCTCAATAAGCACTTATATGAATGAATCAAGAAGGTAAAATGAATCAAATTTCTCCCACAAGCAAAGATCAACTTATGCAACTCTTAACTTATAGAGAAATTAGATTATAAGAGAGCTTACAAAAAAGTTGATTTGTTCTGATGTACAAGTTGATTTTAACTTATGAGGAAAGTTTAATTAATTTAACCACCTTGATTCATTTTATTTTCTTGTCAGAAGTTTATTATAAAAAATGGCTCAATATTCCAAGAAGACCACAAAATAACACACATCTATCCATTCCCTCCAAGCATGTCCTCTTCAAAGAAATAGTACCATCTTAGCAGTAAAAATTCTAACTTTTTATGATATTATTATTATTTTAAGTATCAATATTTTCTTGGGTACAAAATGAATTTATAGATACGATGATTCTCACCTAAGCATGTCAAAAAAAGAAGCAGGATCAACATACTCAAATTCAAACATAGCTTAAAAAGGGTATGATTCCTACCTGATGGATAGGCGATGAAGCCAAGCTAAGAAAACCACAGCCAGAAACATCCCCATTCATCAAATCTTTCTTTCCCCCAGTATTATCTTTTGGCACTTCTGCTACCCTACCCAAGGAACTTGTTGGATTTGACAATGGTTTAGAAGAGTTCCTAGTAAAGGCACCAGAAGTTGAATTGAACTTATGTTTTAAACCTCTTCCATCAGGTCTACTTACAGAAGCACTTGTATCAAACAATGAGTCAACAGAACTATCAGGGATATTGTTTGGTTGAACAACAAGAGGAATGTAAGCTGGTGAAGAAACAGGGTTTTGATAATTGGGGAGGGAGTAATATTGCTGTGCTCCTCCAAATGGACCATCAACTCCTACCATAGCACCAGGAATATAGGGATTATATGGATTGTATGGAGACTGTGCAAATCCATAGCTAGGTGTATAATATACATATGGAAAACTTTCGTTTTGTGCACCCTGTCAAAGAAACAAGCATTAAAATCAGCTGTCAACCCTGCATATGACACAAATGGGCAGAGGAGGACTAGACTCACCGTGTACTGAATATCAGGACCATCTATACCAAAAATTCTATGGTGGTCCTCCCATTCCCCGGGTGACTCAAATCCTGACCACAAAAAGTAACTAGTCAACATGATGCATATACAATATATCATCAACCCAAAAGTCAACACATATAATTCTGATTTTACCTGTACAGTAATAGCCATAATTGGTGGCAGCAGGGTAATACATGTTCTGATCAACAACAAACTCAGGGGCCCCGTCGTTAAACATGACTTCAAATTGTTCAAAATTTGGGCTAGTCAACCGTGTGTTTAAATCGGTACCTTCGATCTGAAAGACAAAACAGATCGTAATATAATTTACTGCCATACCAACTCAGCACAAAAGATACAGTTCCTATAATACAATAATGTCTAGTCATCAAACCAGAGCCCATACATGTCACTAAAAAAACACAAGGTTACAAAAAATCCATAAAATTACCAAATAAGGATCTGTGTTTCTAGTTTCAGAAACATCACGCATTTCCATACCAGAACTGCCACCACTGCATACAACCATAACATGAAGTATAAGCAACCATGACATTCGAAAAAACATTAAAGTGCGAAAATAGCTTTAGAGACTTTGACTTTCGAATCGCGAAACAGTTCAGTAACTTACGAATTAAGAAACCAATTTAACCACAAAGACAAAGAAACAAAAAAGCTAACTCTTCAATGCGCAATCGAGTACTCACGAAACGAAAAGCACATAGCATAACCACATAGCCTCACCCCAACACACTCGAGGAACATACTGTAACCAACCTTGCATTCATTGGAGGAACGCACCAAATAGAAAGAGTAATGACTCAACGAATAAATACACACAGATAGGGAGAAAAGAAAGAAAAAGCGAAGCGAGGATTTACCTGAAGGGGAGAAAAGAAGAAGAATTCAAGGCATGGTTGGGAGGAAACGCCGTCGCATGATGGAATTGGAGAGGGAAAAAGGCGAAGGAAGGGGCTTCTGGAACATTCCGATGACGCCCCCAAGAAACCCTAAGAAAGGGAAGAGGAGAAGAGCCCTTGGCCTTTGAAAAGGGCGGTTTCGGTGCGTGAAAGAAAAATAAAAATAAAAATTAACAACACTGTTTGTGTGTGTGTGTGAAAGAGACTTGCAAACACAGATTCTCACCTATTTAAACGAATAATTTCATTTTTTGGGGGGGGTTTTGTTGATTTACTGTAATGCCCCTGTTTGAATTCGGATACAACGAGAATGCCACTTGTTGAGGGTGCTTGCTCTGTACGCGTAGTGTTCCAAGCACGATGATTCATATAGTTTAGGAAATGTTTGGTTTGCCTATAATGCCCTTGATGTTGCTCTACCGACAGTGTTATTCATAGCTGGAGACAAGGGAGGGGTCAAGGGTCAAAGGTCAAAGTGAGATATTACCGCACCTCCCACTGTATTCATCATTCTTTTTCTGATATATATATATATTCCGGTTAGGTCAATGAATAAGTTCATTAAGTTGCTTCACATGGCGGCAGTTTAATCCTCAACAATTTTAAAAAGTATTTTCTTGTAAGACGCAAATGACCATTTTTTTTTTGGCGTTTATCTGATATGTTAAAATATGCAAATTCAACGAGTATCTATTATTAGATCTTGGAAATTAAGAAAAAGTTTAGCAAGAAAAAGGTCTAGAAACAACAAAGAGCAAGCTGATATGATGAGAAAATAGGTGATACCAAGGGGTGTTCGCAAAAATCAGTTTAGTCAAACCAAACTATCAACCAGTTCAAACCATTAAAATAATGCAAACCGTACTTTGAACCCCAGTTGTTTATTTAGTTGACTGCTCCATTAGAAGGTTTGGATAAACCAAAATCCACTGGAAGGTTTGTCAAGAACTTGACGGTGCCATGATAAATGTAGGGCTCCTTATCTATTTTTCATCACATTTTCATACTTCAAACATCCAAATTGAACAAATTACAATGTTTTTTCTTTCAAAACAAGTGATTATGCTTCCAATATGTGTGATGTTAGATCGGAACATCGAGATTCCATTGGAAGAGCATAATTGGGCACACAATGAGAAAGAAATTTGACACAAAGGTGGAAATTACAACAATTTCTTGGACCCAAAAATAAGAACTTCAGAAAGTGGTGGCACATGAAAATGTTCTTAACAGTGAAAAATAAAATCCTTTTTTTGGTTTAATATATGAGCCTTGTTTTTAATCCATGTAAAAAAGCATAAAATTATACTGCCATCTTTAAATAATTAAGAGGTACACTTTTATAAAAAAGACTTAAAACTTGCAAATATTCACTTGCATGGTAACCAAAATTTAGTTATCATGTTATAATAAATCCATTTTTAAAAAATGGCTGTTAAATCATATTTGGATTCCAAATGCTAATTTGGGGCTTAGTTCTGATTTTAAAACTAAACCTGTTTATAATTCAAATCAGTTTTAGAATCGGCTTAAAACTTGTTCTAAGCTGGTTCACAATGGAACAAAAGAAAATGCTTCATAAAAATTCAGACTAGTATTTGTACAAAAAAAGATGGTTTAGTTTCTTAAACTACGTTCTTTTTCTGTTTTAGTTTGGTTTTAGTGTGCATTTTATGAAAATTCAAACCATGATTGCATTAAATTAAAAAAAATAGTACTTAAACTTCTATTACAACCATAATTTCTATACTATACTAAATATCTAACACAACCAATATATTCTATTGAATAATAAATTAAGAAAAAAAAATGTTATTCGTATATCAAGGAATGAATAAAAATATGGAATGAAACAGAATCGTGATCCGTAAGATGTTAGTCTTCGTAGAAAAAAACTTCCTAAGATTCAGCAATTTCAGAAAACGACAGATGCCAAGGGAAGATAGACTTGTAATAAAGGCAGAGTTTACATGCAGCTCTGCAGGTAGCCTAAGTCATACTTTCACACCCCTAAAAACCATAACGTCACTCAGCGCAGATATCTATTAACTCAAATCTGAACAATTGTTCAACAATACACTTCCGCAGCTTCTTGTATGATGCCTCAACTCTCAAATTTGAAATCTCAACATGGCAAACAACCCCTTCCTCGACTCCTCAATTAAAAGAATAATTATACAAATCAATGAATACCAACCAGACATTTTCAGAACCCTCCTCGCCACCCCAAAAAAAATTATTATAAAATTTCCCTTTATACATACATTTCAAAAGACCGACTTTTCTCAAACGAAAAATCTCATTTACACGCAACCTTGACAGCACAACATAAATAAACCATAGTTATCTGTATTGTTGGAAATATATACCGTGCCCGGGGAAGGTATTCAGAAAATTCATGATGAGCTCCGACGATAAAAATTGTCCTTGCATGAGCACATGGTGGTATCTGTCCATCAAGGATAACACAACTTTTTGTTCATCAACGTCTATTAATTGACCTGTAGTCGGATCATGAGAACAGCAAATATTTATAAACGGCAAATCTTCCTTCTAGGATTAGTTATGAATAAGCAACCCTAAACTAGAACTGAGACACGGATACAAAGTAATACTGCATCTGAAAATCCAAGCATACTAAAATCAATTTGTCACCTTCATTAATTTCTGTGTATGATATTCAAGCATAAATTGTTCTGGTTGCTGCGATGCAACATCTAAATCCAATTAACTAAAATGATGCAAATACCAACTCATTTTTGAAGTTTTTATGGATGAAGCAAGTTCTAAATAACAAACAGCAGATATTCCTATATGTATATACATAAAAGGCCTACCTAATTCCAGCTCCAGTTCCTGATCTTCATCATCCCCCTCTTCAATAATTGAACCATTTTCCAATGCCTCAGCAGCTTTAGCATACCTATTAAGAAATTCTTCTTCTGTTTCTTCATATTCCTCAGCCTCAGAGTCCTATTAAAAAAAACAGAAAAAGAAAAAAGAAAAAGTGAAAGACAAATGAATTAAGCACGAGAACATGTTAATCACTACACGCCTAGGCAAAAGAAGATACATATTGTGCTATGAAGTCCGAGCAGCAGTAAAAACTGAAATATATGGGGAAATTACAAAAACCAACCTCATCATAATCTTCGAAGTCATCATTATCACTGTCCTCATCCTCCTCCTCATCATCATCATCATCATTTTCAGCCTCATCAGCATCTTGTTCATCACCGTTCCCATCCTGGGCTTCTTTCAATCGTACAGATACCTCAAGCAGAGAAGTAAAGCAATTTTGAAATGCACTATCACCTGACTTCCCTTGTTTCAGAAGTTGCTCAATCAATCGAGCCAATGTCATCACTAAAATTCACCCAAAAAGAAGTAAAGAAAAATAGTTTGTGAAAAAAACGTTTAAACTGTTTGACTGTTTGTTTGTAAAGATTAAGCAATAAAAGATACAACTGGCAAACTGTTACAACTTAAAACTTAGACAAACAGCACCCTTGAAACAATCTATTGTTGAGGGAAAATGTTGACTTCAGCTCTAAGAGCTAAGTTTAAGCAGCTAATAATAATATTTTTTTATTGAAAGAAGATACATTTATTACACTTTTAAAACTTTAATATAATAAATGTTTTTTTCCTATAGAAATTGAATACTTTTAGATGCTTAAATGAAGCCCTTAACAGAAGCCATAGTGGAAAATTCAATTATGCACCGTTGTTCATGTGTTCAGTGAATATCAACAGTTATATATACCATTATTCAGAAAAAGAAAAATAAAACATTACTAAAATTTAGTAATGGCAGAAAAAAAGAAGTTATTTACCAGTTAACTTCATCTCAGACTCTGCTGTCAGACCTGCCTCAAAAGATTTATTGGATACATGACACAAAGCAGATGCCCAAATTGCGATGCCTCCTTGTTCCCCCTTTTCCAGAATACCATCTACAATATCAGGATAACACAAATAGCATGAAGATATAGCAAGCAATAAAGGCTTCCAAAGTGAACTGGGAGTCTTTTGAACTTCTAGGAAGCGGGAGAAGGCTGCCCGACTAAAAGCAATAGCCAGTGATTGCTTTACACCTTCAGTTTCAAGTGAGTAGGTTGGACAATGAAGTAATAAATGCACACAAGAGCAAGCTCTCAATGTCGCAGAATGATATTGCTTAATTGCCTCACTGATGAAAGTAGCAATACCCTCTATAATTGAACGTTCAGGCACAGGTGGAGCAGGAGGGGGTGGCACCTCTTTTTCGATAAAGTTTTTCAGCCTGTATCTGCAATCTAAATTTACAATTTCCTTAATTACATCAAAAATGGACAAATCCTCTGATTCCTCCCATGCATGCCACTCTGCAACCATTTCAGCCCAAACTAACAGCAACTCTGATACTTTCAGTTCTTCAATCATGTGATTTCCATCAACTGATAGAATGACAGATTGCAGCAAAGTTGTCAAATCTTCTATGCATGATGAGGGGGGGAAATGCTGGTCTTGTTGATCCTTATCAAGTTTAGGAAACACAAAATAAACATTTAACATGACAATATATTTTTAATGCAACGTAAAAGATTTAATTAAGGCAATCATTATCTGATAGCCAAACCATAAAGCAAGGAGACCAATTGGCACAGACACTTCAATGCATTGCAAATAGGATCAAAGATGCATAAAAAGTATTGCAAAATTCTAAATTAGAAAAGGTGCATGTAGTAAGATAGATCATTAGTGTGGCCACAGTAAAAAAATTTGAGGAATTCAAAAAAATACAATGGGACAAGTTAAACAATAAGGAATTGGAGCTTCAACAAACTCATTCGAACTCTCTAAACAAAGTTCAATTTAGAAAGGCATTCAAACTAACCAATGTGCATAGAGGTGTAAGCCAAGCCTGCTGCAAGAGTGCAGCAAAAGCTCTACCAATTGCCGCTTGACCTGTGGCCCATTTTTCACGGGACTCCTCTGACTCAGATTCTTCAGGCCTGGAGTCCACCCAAGTATGACCCATAATTGCCAGAGCAGCAATTGCGCGTTCAACCACCTATTGCACATACATAAAACTCATCAGTGCCTTTGTTGCCTCAAAAACAGCAAGAAATACATATCAGCTCATTGAATAAAGCAAAGTAATAGGGTAGCAAGCCAAACACATCACTGCGGGCACCAAAACATTGCACACTAAATGTTACCATAGAGGTGCAACCTTCTAAATTATATTGGTTACAGCTTGAAGCACATGAATGCATAAAGAAATAAAGGAAAATACACTGTTATTAACGTGCATTTTGACTATATTCTTCACTAAAAAACTTCTATGTCAGATAAATAGTATCAAAATAGATAACCTATGAAACAAAGCATTTAATTTTTCAACTTGCAAGCCACTTGGGGAGTGAGTGTTCAATTATCATCCAACTCAAGCCATTAACATTTCCAATCTTGAAAACCATTTGGATTCGGATAAAAAAATTTCAACAAAAGCTAGAAATGAAGTTATTAATATATAGCACACCCAGATTTCATATGTTATTAAGTGATTGGAATTGTTGCTGAAACTGATAGAAATTATTACCAACCAACTAATAAACAAGAAAGATCAACTTACTTGAGTCCAAGGCTCCAGATTAGGATTTAACCATTTTGAGATTGGATCTACTAATGATGGGACAATATGTGGAATATGGACTGCAATTTTCTCATCTCCAGATTCCATGATAGAACTGAGAAGTTGAAATAAGATGGAGCTCTCACTCTCATCATTTCCAATATTGGCAACTATTACTTGGAGAAGGGGTAGAAAATCAGGGGGCATGTAATCATTCTGAAAAAGAAAACATAAGCTGAGTAGTGAAAGAGAAAAAGAATAAGATTATTCAAGTCCAAAACAAATCACGGAACTAAAATCTCACATCAAGTAGTGTGGTAATAGCCCCAGCAGCAGAAACCCGCACAGGATAGCAAGAAGTATCCTGCTTATCCGGCATGACCAATGCCATAAGCAACTGAGAATATACTTCAGCACTCATCTCCTGAAAAGCCATAAACCAAGTTGGGATCACCCAGGAGTAGGAATGCGTTTAAGGTATTTCGTCACAACAATTACATGAAAGCATATTTATTTCAAATAGAATTTGCTTGACTTATGATAGACTTATTGAAGTTTGTCTTACTTCTGGTAGACAGGAGCCAAGTTCACCAAGTACCCAGTTCGCACTTGCAACTAGGTATGGCAGGTAAGCAGCTACTGTGTAGAGTGGCAAAATCCGTGTCCGAATCAGTATTGTTACATTCCCAGGTTCTTGCTCTCTCAAAAACTACATGGGAATAAGTAGAATTTAAAATTCATTTTTGTAAATTAGCATTGGAACATTGATGGTTTATTGAACAAAAGGAGAAATGTTCTCACGTCTTGCAGGCCACCATATGCCATCAGTACGCCAAAGTAACTGCCATAGCTCATGATGTAACAAGAATACATAGATAAAGTCAAATAAAGAAGGGAACATAAAATTATTAATATAAAAGAAATATCAGTTAAAAGTTAAATAAATACATACAGGAAGAAGGCACTTATTATAAAGTGATGCTGTAAATGTGTACAACAAGAAACAACAGAAGAAAGCAAAAAATGGAAAGCAAATAAGCTATATATAGTAACAGAAAGTATACCTACACAACAAGCAACCTTATCCCTTTCAATGAGGAATAATTTTTTCTTTTAAAAAAACAGCAGAATGGAATAATCAACATGAAATATATAAGACATCAAATGGATAAAATTCATTATGGATATAAACAAAACTGATTAACTGCATGGTTGAAATAATTGGATCTGAGAAAATAATCATTATTTAAGCACCTTCTCAAGAGTGCTTTTGAAAGCAATTATTTCTTCCAAAAAAAGTGATGTCAAACATGAACCAAATTCAGCCAAAAAAGTGCTTTGCCAATGGGCTGTCAAAAACGTATTAAGAAATGCAGAGTATTTATCATTATAGATCAGGCAATTGGTATTAAGAACTAATTTGCATTTGTTTGATCAGGCCGCATGCACATGTGAAGCATACATAAAAACTCACTCATTCAAGATTTTCTTTTGAGACACATTGGAATAAGAAGGAATGGGGAACTTGGACAAAAATGGAAGCACCAATAACTCTCCCATAGATCGGCGCTGATTGCTTTTTTTGTTCTTTTGACCCTTTTTACGCTTCGATGAAGCTGATAAACTCTCAGTGGCAGTCTCCATTGGTGGCCCCTGTAGAAATTAATGACAAAATGAACCATGGTGATAATTGGTGCATAGATCAATTAATATATATCTGTAACCTACCTTTGACATTGAAATAACACCAAGTAAGTTTACTGAACTTTTTCTGGCAGTGAATAAATCCTCTCTCCATCCACAAATTTCATCCTAAATATAAAATTCCAGTCAGAAGTTTCTAATGATTAAGTGCCAAAAAAAAAAAAGATCAATTTTCATACTATATCTGAAGGAAGATTCTTTCGTATGTACTCATCTGGGTCTTCTTCCCACTCTGACATATCCTATGCGTTAACATTTCCATAATAAATTAACAAGAATAATTGAATGCTAAGCAACTCATTTCACGAATTTACAATTCTTAAGCAAGAAGTTTATCCTGTTATTTTTTATATAAATTCTGACCTTCTCATTCATTACTAATGCTGGAAAGATTGCAGATTCCAATAGAGTTGTAAAATGTGGAGAAACTAATCGCCATCCCTGAATTATTTGAATTTGAACCTCATCAAAGAAGAATATTTTAAAGAATATGCAACCCATGCAATTCACAGCATCCTATCTATTGAAATTCAATTTTTAAAACAATTAAAACTAGAAAAAGTACAGAGAAAACCTACCGGCCCAGTCTCCAGTACATTTGAAATAACATCAAAGCCTAGGGACAGAAGCCTTTCTGACAGGAAAGGAAGTTCCTGCAAGAGGAACATGACCATTCAAATTTTGGAATGCATAAAAAATGAGGATATATTCAATAAATATCAAGGCAACATAAGCCCAGAATCAAGTTACAGATACGAGATTCAGAAGCATTGTAGAAAATGAAATTGGGTGCTTAATAAATAATATGCTGAGAGCACAACAGTCTCCGGAAGAATATTTGAGCAAAGATTAGAACTATGGCAGTCAAAAGAACTGGAAAAGCAAGCATAAACGTTGTACAAGTCAAATTGTGAAAAGTTATTAAGCACAAGAATTTAGGACAATATCTTACACTGGTATTTTTGCTAAATTTGACTATGTTTAGAACACAATTTATGATTTCTGGCATCAACCTGAAAATGGAAGGCATATATTTCATTATATAATACAAAAAAAGCTTATATCCAAATAAAAAATTTAAGCATTATATTACTTATCAGAATGTTTCCTGTGCCGCGTGACAAGAGCAGAAAAAAGAAGAAGGCTTCTTTTTCCGGTCTTCAATCTTGTCAAGTTTTCATCTTCTTGAGCAACCATACTATCCAAGCTCAGAGAACCTAAAATGCTCATTAGGTCCCGACAGAATGAAGGCAGTAGAGGAACTAAAGTTGATGGCATGTAGGACCTAACCTAGAAGTAGGAATGTCAAATAAAAAAAACTGACACTATAGCATGAATGCCAATAAATAGCAGTGCATAACAGAACTTAGCAAATAAAGACCATGGACCAGGGGACAAATATTGGCAAAACTCTTGGACTAGATACCAATTCGTAACACACAAAATAATAGGTGCAAGAGTTCATAAGTACTCAAAAACATAGTTATACTATATATAAATTAAATGCTATAGTGGGATAGCCCATGGCCAGGTGACTGCTATTTAGAAATTTATATATTAATTAAATACTTTATATATATATATATATGCTAAAAGATTTTTTAAAAAACTCAAAATCCATGACATACTTATAATTAACAATAAGAAGTCATAGTTCTTAGGCAAAAGATACAAGTAAATAACAATAAAAGTAAAAAAGATCCCGCAAAGCAGTGCTCCTTTTGTGCAAAAATGATTTTTTTTTTTTAAGTTTCACTCTAGCACTGTGGCTTCTATTTTGGTCACTACAGCCACTATTCAAATTTTATAGCAGCCTATGGCTGCTCGGCAGCTATTCCGCTGTAGCCCACTATTGATAACTATGCTAAAGAAAGTGAAAGAAAATTAGAGAATAAGAGAAAAAAGGATGACATATTTCATTATATCACTGAACACTCTAAGTGTTCTAAAATTAATACAAAGCTGAAGTCGGTTATGATAATTGGAAAACTACAACTGATTCAGTAACAATGACAGCATACTTTGCTTTTTCCCAGGGAAGAGCCAACTTTTCATCAACAGGTTCAATAGTAACTTAAATAGGATGAAAATAGTAGACCTATCTCTCCTAAACACTTTATTTTTCAGCATTAATATAGCAATAAACAGTGAGTAGTTCCCATTCTTAATTTTCTCTAGCAGTAACATTATAATGTGACTGCAGATCACAAAAACTATAGCATTTATGTTCTCATATTAAACAAATCATATGCTTTCAACAAGCCACTCTGCAATGCTGACAATGGTTTTATGCAATCACATTGGGAAAAGTTAACATTGCAACTTCCAAATATCTGTTAAAATAATGAGCCAAAATCTCATGGCATCAAAGGCCAACTAGACTATTTAGACATGGCGTAGGATTAATAGGATTTAATAACAAAATTAAACCAAAAGAGTATAGACATTACAAACAATGCTAAAAGAAGATAACTGAAGAATGGCATGTAGATTGTAACTTTATTTATTTAACTTCTAGGCTTCAGCCCCACCAAGATTGAATTTTCAATTAAGACAATAACCAATTTATAGATATTTATATGTCAAAAATACATGTGTCAAACCATTACTTACTGCAAAATGTAGGCATTTGCATATAGTGAGAAGGACTTTCTCAGTTTCTATTTCTGCTTTGTAATGGGTTGCTAAAACCTGTTCCATTCATAATAAAATCACTCAGAAGCAAAGCTCATAGAACCAGTAAGCAAAGCAAAGAAAAAAAACACAACACCTTTACAACAAATTGATGGAATACAGCAAGCAAGGGCACAAGAATTTCTTTGGCTATAAGCTCCAACTGTGGTGGTACTGGTTCCTTTGCAACTTTGGGATTTAAAAAATACTGCAAAACGAAGGAGTGGATTCAAATACAAGGCAAAGCAGGCAAAGCCCAATATAATAAATACTTATAGTTTAACGAGGGGTTAAAAGTATGGTTTTGTTGTTCTCAACCCTTAGGGTTGAGTTTAAGCAACTAATAATAGTAAGTTTTATGGAAAAACAAAGCATTAAATTACAACTTGACATCTCCAAAATAACAAATGCTTCCAAAGGACTAAGGTTAACATTTTCTTTAAAAGTATAATTTTGCAAGGGAGAAAAAACAATTGGAGAAATGCACTTGTAAAGGTTGTACAACACATGACGTGAATCAATGATCCCCACCAAATCAACAAACTATCAATCAATAGATAAGAATGTTTACAAATCATCAATGATAAGCATTGGTTTACACAAGAAAGCATTTAATGGCAACTGCATTGAACAGCAGAAAATAGTGTGAGCTTTGAATACCTGGAAGGGTCTGAGAAGAGCATGGAGAACAATAAGTGCATTGACGGTGTTCCACTTAGGATTTGAACCGTTGATAAGATGGCTATTTTGAATAGCAGACTGCAGATTAGGCACAAGCTCTGGCCACAAATTCTGCTTGACAAAATCAGCAACAGCAATGGCCCGGAACTGCCACCACAAAACAAAACACAGTTCAAACACTCAAAACAAGCAAACCACAACCCCAAAGCAAAAGAAAAACAGCATACCACTTCAACTAAAATCTTGAGAACGGACAACTCGACTTGAAGCAAAGCATGCATCAGCTGCTCCTTGAACTCCTTACTCACATTCGACGGCGAAGTGCCGTTGCTATCGACTTTGCGGCGCGTGAAGTTCTTCAGGTAGGTAGCAGCAGCAATTTTCTGACCTTGATTTTCTCCACCTGTTAACAAACACCGAACAAGAATCGTTACAATCGTTTGCCGGTGCCAAAACGATTAGAAAATTTGGAAACTGAAGAAGTGGAAACTACCGGTGGAGATTGAGAGGAGATAGAAAGGGAAGTGCGGAGTGAGAGAGAGGCGATCGAGAGCATCGGTGGCGGCACGAACGGCGTCGGCGACGGGGCTGAGAGTCTGGTTCAGTAAGTGACCGATCTGAGTAACCTCCTCCGCCATGGCACTTGACAATTGAGAAACAGAAACCCTAGTCTCCGTCACCCGCTTTTGCATATTGGCGGGAATGTGTCTGCTTTATATCTGACAATTTTGCTTTTTCGAGATTAGGGAGAGGGAAGAAAACAAAAAGAATATTCCTTTTCGAAATATGTAAAAAGATTGGTTGGAGATGCGGGGGATCGAACCCCGTGCCTCTCGCATGCAAAGCGAGCGCTCTAACATTTGAGCTACATCCCCAATGCATTCAATAAAGCTAGCTAAGTTTTCACTAATATTTCTAGCGTATATGCCTGAAATTTATTTATAGTCATGCTATGGTGCAAATTTTACAGTTATTTTTCTGAATCATCATACATTTTGGGTATGAAATTGTTGTAACCCGTTTTTAAAAATATTGTAAGGAAATCTTAATTATCGAAGTTTGAATCTGTTTGTAACCTGTTGATTTAGGGTTTATTTGTAAATGAAGAACAATCAATTTTAAGAGAATCCAAAAAATATATATTTGCTGAACTTGCTTCATAATGTGTGCACGTTTATTCATAATTAACTTCGTTTTGTTGGTTAAACTGAACAGCAAACCGGCTCTTGATTTTTCATTTTTATGCTTTATAACATGCTGGTAGTTAAGAGGATAGATTGGATGCTTTATTAAAATTATTTTTACTCTACTTGAAAGACCTGATTGGGTAGTTTTTGAAACTTGTTTCACCATAATTGAAAAAATTTGCCTTCCCACATAACATGCATTGAGACAAGGGTAAACACTAGTAAATTCACGTTTACTTTAACTTTACTGCCTCCTACTTATGTTTCTAGTTGTAACTTCTATGTTGCATTCACAGAACTTTTGAATTCACAAGTAATAAAAAAACATTAAACTCATTTTACCAAACAAAAGTTCCCAAATTACATCCATCATAAAGCAGTGTCAAATTAAAGTCCCTTTCTAGGTTCAGTGTGAACATAAAGGGTTCAACTGAAACCGAAAGGAAAAATGTCAAAATGTCAAAATGAGCAGAGCAGCACTAAGGTCGATGTTCCACTGCAGTAGGCCTGATCCTGCCAATTTCAGTATCATAGTGTCTATCAAATTTTCATCATGCTCGAAATGGCACAAGCTTTTGCAATGTATATAATATTACAGCGGCAACGCATTCCAATGGAGCTACATAGATAACTGTTCACTCGCAAACCAGTTCGCTTTTGATCATTTTTTCAACATGTGGATCCCAGCACCAGCCTGTGTCCAACGTTCAAAAAGCTATTCAAACTTATGGGAGTAAATTACGGACATTTGTATACCCTTTATTTGATTTTTAAAATCAGTATCCCATATTCACTACCCTTAATCCTTGGCTCACTGTTGCCTTGTTTGCTTTCTCTTCTACTACCAGCTTTAATTTCTTAGCATGCAGATGCAGCTTCCACTGCTAGCACCACCATTCTCCATCTTCAAACTTCTTATACTAATAACATCACAAGCCATTCCCATTTTCACACTCTCCCCATGCAAGAACTCATGTGGTAGCATTCCCATAAACTACCCATTTGGCCTAGAAGATGGGTGTGGAGCACCCCAGTTCAGGCACATGCTAAACTGCACCACTGACTTGTTCTTTCAAACCCCATCAGGTGCTTACAAAGTTCAATCCATTGACTATGACAAAAAATCCATGGTAATATATGACCCTTCAATGTCCACTTGCTCTATTCTTCAGCCTCATCATGACTTTGTCATGACTGATATTCAATCCGCTATAATCCCCCCATCACAAGACACAGTTTTTGTGCTACTAAACTGCTCCATAGACTCCCCTGTTCTCAACCACTACAAGTACCTTTGCTTCAACTTTGCGGGTCACACCTGTGATGAGCTTTATGGGGCCTGCAATGCCTTCAGGGTCTTCCATTTGTTGACAAACAGTTCCCCTCCGTGTTGTTTCACCAGTTACAATACGGTTAAGTTCATGAGCATGAACATCTTGGACTGCACACATTATACTAGTGTGTTAAACACTGACAATTTAAAGGGTGTTGGCCCTTTGGACTGGGTTTATGGGATTAAGCTTTCTTTCAGCGTACCTGATATTGGGTGCGAAAGTTGCAAACAGTCTGGTGGGACGTGTGGGTTTGATACTGATACAGAAGGTTTGTTATGTCTGTGCTCAAGTTCCACTAATTCAACAGGGGAATGTGGTAAGCAATTTGGTCTCTTGTTTTGACCTTCCTCCGAATTTTGATTGCATGGTGCTTGCTATTTTGGTCCAGACTGAACAAATTTCTCAATAAATACTTATACACGACACAAAAAAAGAAGTAAAATAAACCAATAAAGAAGTTAAAATCAATATGCTTTTCTAACTTTCTAGAAATATTATAGTTTAACTTCTCTAAAATTAACTTAGAAAAAAAATATTATTTTATATCTTTGTTTTCCTATATCAGCTTATCTAGAAATTTATCCACACTTAATGGGTAATTTGTACCAATTCTAACTATATATAATTTCTTTTGTTTCTGTTTTGTATCTAAGCTGCTGGAAGCATAATATCGAAAGGACAGAACAATGCTCCTTGGAGACACTACCGAATGGTAATGCTTCTTGTAGCTTATGCTCTCACGCGGGGGAGGCTCCGTTGAGAGGTTTAATGTTAATTGTCTTTCACTCTTCTGTTAATGGGCAGAGAGAGTTGTGTAGTTTTGTGTTTATGATTATATGTTTTTGTTAGACTTCGAAATTGGGCATAGCGTGGTTAGAAGTTGAAAGTTGTCTATTCTCTAGTGATGAAAAATGGCTTACTAAAACAGAAGGGATATGTCATCTTCATTTTGCATGTTCGCAATGGGCATGACGAATGGCAACTTGGGTACATTTCTTAATGCATCAACCATATATTTTAGCAGAACATGGAATGACAAACGTAATTAATCCATAGGCTTCTAAAATTAAGCAACCAATTGTTTCACTCAAAATGATGTTTCGTCCATATTAACACTTGATGGTGGAATTGTTTAAATTTTAGCAGCACTGATATTCTGATGGAAGTATTTCAAGATCATGATTTGCCAGGCCCCCAAAACAGACTAAATAGTCACCGTGCAATACGTTGATTCTGCCAATAATTTCTTAATGAGTATCGAGGAGAGAAATGTTTCTATTATGTTAAACAAATTTTCTAATGTATCTTCAAGAACATTCTATGTATAATAAATTTTTATTATATATAATAATTTTTTTATAAATAATAAAATTTTATTAAATTTATTGCATAAATAACAATGAATACTGTAATTTTTATAATAATTTACTGTTCTTTTTCTTTCTTAATATGTGTTTTTTAATATATTAAAAAGTTAATCGTTAAAAGGTTTGACACAAATTTATGGCCGATTGTGAGAATGTAAATGTTAACGAAGTCTTGAAATAACAAGTTAGTTGAATTAACAAAATATTACAAATAGGTTTGTCTTGTAATCCAGTGTTTGTCAAATAATTCATAACTTAGTTGTATCACTAGTGATGGTAATGAGATCCGAACTTGCAAGAACTTGTTCAAACCCGACCCAAGTTTGACCATAAAAAATTCTTTTCGACAAGGTTTGTGTTTTTCTCATTTAAACAATTGAATTCAAGTTCAGTAGTTCTGAATCTACTATGAACTCATCTTGGCTTTTATATTATATATATATATATATATACACACACACGTGTATAAAATTAGGTATCATTGAAATGCATGTATATAAAAATATATATCATATAAAATTCAATATTTAATTAATTTTTATAAAATTAATGTAAGAGGGAAAGACGAGTTCAAAGCGAGATTGGATTATGTACACACTAATAAATATAGAGACGAAGTTGAATTTTAAAAGTAGAATATTAGTTTAGATCCGAATAGTGATAAATAACTTGGCCTGTTGCCATCTCTATGTATCACTTTCTTAAGAGTTGAAAATTCTCTTTTTAAGTCTAAGTGCAATTGAGTTAACTTTTATGCTATACAAACTTCTTTGTCAACAATAAAAAAATAAAACTTAAAAAAATCATAAAAAGTAAAACATTTCACAAAGACACCAATAAATAACTAGCATACGTGATTATCACCAGTGAATCAAGGTAGCAGACTAGCAGCATGAAAAAAAAAAGGTCAGCATTGGCCTTGCCTTAACCTATAGCATGGTAAGCCATAATGAAAAACTGTTCGCATCTCCATCCTTAATTTATTATGTTCCAACCAAGTAGACTACTTTTAGTTATAAAATTTTACAATAATTAATAAGTTCCTTAATTTTATCAAGTAAGTTTCTGTATGGTGTTAATTTGTAGCATTGGGTTTAGATACTCCAATTTTAGCATATTTATGACGTTCTAGTTCATTGTGGGCAGCATCGCAGATAAAATAAAAATAAAAAAGAAAGAAGACAGACATGATTAATGACATTTGTAAAAAAGCATATAACTCAAAATTTTCAATAAAACTTGAAAAACATGGCGCTTATGTCAATAAAATTGTTTCTATCTTGGATTTACATTATAAATGGAAAGTTTGTCTGAATTGATAGATTATAACTATAAATAGGATCGTTTATGTACAAAAACATCCAATTTAACATGTACTTTTAAATAATAATGTTCTTTATTCAAATTTTTTCCCTATTCTTTCTTCTCTTTATATTATTTCTCAAGTTTATAAATCTCTTTCTTTAAATTTCATTCCAAATCAAAGTCAGCATTAATTCTCTTAAGCCAATCTCACGAAAGTGAAAGATTTTATCAGCGAAAGCGAAATGCACGGAAAATTGACTAGTCTAGATACAATGTCATCCTCACATTCCGTTATCAAGCTTCGTGGCCCCGATCTTTTCAATTTCCAAGCCCGCTTGGGAATGAGTGAGAACCAAAAGAAATACCTTAGCAGCAATTCACGATCTTATCTTGATAGAAAGATCGTATCATCACCAAAGACAGATTGTAATTACCAGAAGAAAGGTGGAAAAGAGGTCACAGTACCAGCACTTGAACGCTTACTCTTACTGCTTCAGGTTCACCTCTTTTCAAGTCCCCCTCAGTCACTGCCATAGTTGACCCAGTATCAATTGACCATGCTGATGCAGAGTCCATATCAGCAGGTGAGGAAGTAACATTGATGGATTGGGGGAATGCCACGGCGAAGGAAATAGAGAAGGACCAAGATGGAAAGTCACAGGGTTGAGTAGAAAAGTCGCTTCGTTCTCCTTGCATTTGATTACGCCAATCTGTTTAAAGAAAATAAAGTACACCGTCATAATTGAGTAAAAACTACAAAGAATCAAAATCTTTTAACGTTGATGTGAAAGTTACGCAGAGTAACATACGGTAGACACATTTTTTCTTTCTACTTCAATTCTAACCACGAGTTATTTAAATTTATAAACCCACAACTTTGTTTTGCATAAGTACTGTTATTCGTTTTTTAAAATTCACTTGGATTTGGTGTAAAAAATGACAAAGGCTAAATCTTGATCCTACAAAGGGTCTAATATAATCATCCACGATCAATAAACAAATAGCTATAATTTTTGTCACCAAAAATAAAATTTTGTATCGACAAGTAACCATTGAATTATTTCAATACAAAAACTATTGGAATTTAACCACCTTAGCACCGGCTGCAATTTCACTGGTTATAAATGAGTTTTAAGGTAAATATAAATGTAGATGGCACATTAAGTAGACACAAGGCCTCTCTTGTAGCAAAGGACTTTCACTAAAGGGATGACTACAACTTTAATGAAACTTTCAGCCCTATTGTGAAGCCAACAACAATTAGAGCTGTACTCTTCGTAGTCTTAACTCGTAGTTAGCACCTAAAATAACTTAATATTGTTAATACATTTTAAATAGAGAATTTCATGAGACTATTTATATGCAAAAACCACAAGGATATGTACAAGGTGATGGCTCCTTGATATGCAGATTGAACAAAGCATTATATGGGTTCAAACAAACTCCTAGAGCATGGTTTGAAAAACTACACCAATGGTAGCCAATTTGAAACTCACCTCAAATGACTATACAGATTTTGAAAATCCAACCTTGTACAGGTCTATTGTAGGAAGCTTACAATATTTCACTATTACGAGATTAGAGATTTCCTTTGTAGTGAACAAGGTTTGTTAGTTTATGCATTCTCCTAAAAATGCACATTGACAGGCTATTAAATGTATATTACGTTATCTTTGTGGCACATTAGCTTATGGAATTGAGCTCAACAAATCTGAGAATTTTTTAATCATTGTATTATGCGATGCTGATTGGGGTTAAGATCTTGACAATAGGAAGTCCACTGTTGGTTTTCTATGTACTTGGGTTGTAATTCAATCTCATGGACATCTCAAAAGCAACATGTTGTCTCACGTTTGACTACTGAAGCTGAATACTGCAGCATAACTGCTGTTACTACAGAAATTACTTGACTGTAGTCTCTTCTTATTGAACTTCATATCTCTATTTCACTTATACCAACGATATACTGTGATAATTTGAGTGATGTTCTTATTACTATCAATCCTATCCTTCATTCTAAAACCAAACACTTTTAGTTAGACTTATTCTTTGTTTGAGATAAGGTGTCCAAATGTAAAATCAGAGTTCATCACACTCTTGCTATAAAACAGACTGCTGATGTATTAACTAAGCCTTTAGCTTATTCTTCTTTTTCAAAATGTATGAACAAACTTAATAAGTATATAAAATAAGTGATTTGAGATGGTGACTTGAATACTTTTTATGTTAAAAGTTGGATTATTTTGTTAAATTCCCTTTAAACTTGAAATTTTTACAAATACATATATATTTTTACAAACAAATGTAATTTTAGTGTTTTAATTCCTTTTTTTTTAATCTATTTTGTAGTTGGAATCAATAGAGAATCATCAATTAAAGTTAAACAAAAACTTGATAAAGTCAGAAAAAGAGCATTAAGCATGAAGTTGCACAAAAAGTTAGGTTCTAGAGACTTCTCGCTGTAGCAAGAAATACTCGTTGCAGCGAGGATGCTTGATTGTGACGAGGGTAATTTTGTGTTCTTCTCGCTACAGTGAAAATGGCTCGCTATAGCGAGATACTTTTGGGCCACTATAGCGAGAAACTTAGCTGTAGCGAAAGGCAAATAAAATGACCTAATTTATATCTCCGTTTTTCGCTACAGCGATAGTCCCTCGCTGTAGCGAGAGAAGTTCAAGCAAACTACTATAAAAGGCGACTTTTATGTTCAAGTAAGGGGTTACTGTTCCACAACCATTTTCAGAGGTCCAGAACGGCGCAAGGCATAGACAGAGAGTAGGAATACTTGATTTTTTATGTTTTACCCCTTTTGTATCTCCATTTTTGTTGATATAGTTGCCATGAGCAGCTAAACTTTGTATGATATTGAATGTAAATCTTTAAATCTGATGTATTCTCAGTGATTTATATAAATATAGTTGTTTCTTCTTCATTTCTAATGATTTGATGATCTCAATTCGTTTTAATGGTTGAATCTAATTAGTTGATGTTTTCTGAAGTTCAGATCTGAGTTGTATTTGGAAAGATTTTATTTAGATTTATATATGATTGAGATTGCTTAATAACTGGTTGTTCTAGAAATAAAATTCAAGTTGTTGATTGTTTTTAAATCCTGATTTTAATGTTGGATAGTTTTATTAACTGTTTGAGGAATTAATATTTAAAAAATTATCTTAGAAATATATTTTTAAGGAATTGAAATATATGACTTTTGTATTTTGTATCAAATTCATTGGAAGTAATTGCTATATTTATCATTGGATTACTAGTACATAGAGGGAGAGATAGATGAAATTGAATTCCAGTTTTAACTTGAATTTTACCATATTTTACTTTAGTGCTTTACATTTTGATTGTTGTATAATATTTCATGAAAATCATTCACAAATTCTACTGTATATAAGCTTAATTAATTTGTATGTTATTAATTAATACATTTGAATTGATCTCTAAGGATGATATTCTGGTACTCTACCAGTTATTATTTGCAACAGACTCGGTACACTTGCCGTATTTGAAGGAAAAAATCCAACAAAACTCTTGGTACACTGTAATGAACCCATGAGTTTAAAGAATGTGTAAAGAGAATTTAAGAGTATTTTTTTACTGTTAATTATATTATTCTCTATATATAGACTTCTTATATATTGTACCTTTTACTTTAATATGAATAATATTCAATTACAATATATCTTTTTCTTCTTTCTTTATTTCTATCTCATCTTCTCTCACTTACTTACCACTATTCTATGGTTCCTTTACATACTATAATTACATAATTAAATTGTATTTGACATGATGAAAACTCTTATAAAATGAATTAAATTAATAATTTTTAATATTTTTAAATTAACAAACATCTTATTGCACTGTATTGACTATTGATTTAAAATATAATGTGAAATTTTAAATGTAAATAAAATTTTATTATTAGAATACATATTACAAAAATTAAATTATCTAAAAATATTCATAATCAACATACTAATGATTTAATGACTAAATTGGAAAAAAATAAATTACAAAGGTCATTAAATATGTTAATTTATTAAATCTAACATCTGATTTTATTTATTTAACATTGTCACATAAATAAATATTCCAAATTGTCTTTTGTTCTTCATTATTTACATTCTTCTTTTTTCCTTTTAAGATTGCAGTGTTACTGGCAAAGTGATCCAAACCTCCCTCTGCAAAAGCACCAAAGGCTCCCTCGTCATGTATAAGTTAAAATTGACGCTCATAATTAATTATCATTGCTTTTGAGTATCGTTGGCCACTTCGCATGGTGAAAATAATAATCACATGTAACAACAAAGTTCAAATGTAAATCCCGCCCATTACGCATCAATATTAAATTATATGTTTTAACACTTTATTTTTTTACAAAAAAAAAAAAATCTCCTTTTTTTGCATTTCCAATATATATTTTTCCCTTGCATTATTAATATTATTAACCTAAAAACTTGACTCTAACAACTACTGCTGATAAAGTGAAACATTTGAGATGTCATTGAAAATGGAACGAATAAGAAAGAGCTGATTCTTTAGTTGAGTTCGATTTGCTTGTAAAGTAATATACTAATCCTTTTACATAATCACGTTATTGTATATTGATATGTTATTGTATCAAGTATTAAACTATCTTATATCATACCAATACATAGTATACCGTTTGTTGATATTGATCATAGTGAATCAAAAAGTTACTCTATAAATTTTGTTTCTTATTTGCCGTTTTAAAAAAATCCAAATCATTTGTCATTATTTTAAAACATCTGTAAATTCAAAGCATTAATTAATTTTCAAAACTGTGTCGTTGTTATTAATAAGGAAAATAATGTTTGTTTAAAAAGCAGTAGTCATAAACCTTAATGAACGGAGGCTATCCGCATTGATTGGAGGCAGTCTTTGCAAGTGTTTATTTTTGCCCTAATATTCAAGTGTTCTAGTAATAAGCGAGAGAGAATATTGATACAGTAATAACTTTTGAATAAATAGCAACTTAGTTACATCTAGAAATCTTTCTTATAATTATAAGATTGATTTATTGCACTTTAGGTAAATTATTATTTTAGAAAAATAATCTCTTTATTTTTTCCCAAGAAAATTTCCTTTAAAATTTTTTAAATTTGAAAAGAAGTCGATTCACTAACATTTTTCTTAATTGGACCTTAAATAACAGATAAAAAGATTGTTATAAATCTCGTAAGTGTACTATATCAAAGCAAACCGTTACGTATTTATTATCAGTTTTACCATAAATACTTAAATATTTATTAAATATTAACAATTAAACAATAAATAATTAGCAACTTATTTTCTGGAACAGTGTTTAAAAAAAAATGCAATTAGAGTAGTTCTAAAAAGAATTACTAGTTACTAGTAAAAAGAATAATACAATACTTCAATATCATCATTTAAACTACTCTTGTTTTTGGCGAAGAAGTTAAAGATAGATTATTATTTTTTTAATTAGTGTTTTAAAAGATCCAATTAAAAGTGAATAACGATTTTTTGAATTAGTAACAGAGTTTAATAAAAAAGTTTTATTCCTTAATGAATGTGAATAATGATTTGCAATTGGCATTAAATTTACCTAACCTCGCTGGTCCATACTCTTCTTGTCTATTAAACGTTGGGAAGGAGTAAGTGAGAGGTTTGGGGGAGTGTGAGTGTGAATGGCTGGAACAAATCAGAAAGCAGCTCCAAAAACGGTTTGAAATTTAAAATAAGAAAAGGGGTGACGTTAACATTAAGAAATGGTTGAAGGGCACCGCTACAATTTAGAAAAGTTGAATTTGAAATGAGGCGGGGTCTCCTCGCTGGTCTATTCAGAGCGAGGGTGTGTTTGAAATCAAATGACCTTGGAATGGATCTAACAGATGGAGAGTGAGCTGAAGTTATCGAAAACTGGAAGGTTGAGTTGAGTGTCAGAATCAGAATCAGAGGAAAATGTTGAAAGAAACTCGAAACTCAGCTCGAAGGAATCCTCAAAACGAAGCAAATGAGAACGAATTCGAATCCTCGCAGAACCTAATTAACTATCCACCTCCACGAACACCTTTCAATTCCATACCTGACCCCTCTCAGTGCCAGGAATCCGAACCTATTCGACCGCCTCGGTTCGGGAATGCTACTCCAAGAGCTTCCTCTCGGACCGGAAAGGCCCATTCCGAGCCCAACTCGGCCCAGAGCACGCCCGCCAGAAACACTCCCAGGGTTTCCCTCGGCGGAGGAAGCAGAGGAAGAGGAGTGAGTTCGTGCGTGTTGCTCAAAGACACCGAACTCTCTCTCCAAGTTCCGCATTTCGACCTCAAAGACGATCCCTCCTTCTGGACCGATCATAATGTTCAGGTACATTTTCGCTTTTCTCGATTCGTTCTTCTTCTTCTTCTCGTGTTATCATAGTTCGTTTATGTGAATCGTGCTTGTGTTGTTGCGTTCAGGTGCTTATTAGGATTCGACCGTTGAGTACTATGGAGAAGCTTTCGCAAGGACATGGCAGGTGCCTGAGGCAGGAAAGTGCGCAAACTTTGGTCTGGCTCGGCCATCCTGAAACCAGGTTCACCTTCGATTACATAGGATGTGAGACCTTATCTCAGGTGTGCCTTCGCTTTGTTACGATACGATGTTTCATGTTTGTTAACTTTCTGTTTATACTTTTCAACTTTAAAGTGAGTAGTTCTAATGGTTATTTTCGTGGTCAATTGGTATAGGAAAACCTGTTCGGAGTTGCAGGAGTGCCTATGGTGGAGAATTGTTTGTCTGGTTACAACAGTTGTATGTTTGCTTATGGTCAGGTGTGAGTGGCTTGCAGGGATTTAGTGTCTTGTTCTTTGCAACAAGAATTTATGTGTTCATTGCTGAAGTTGTTGTGTTATGTGTGGCTGATTTTCTGCAGACAGGTAGTGGCAAGACATATACCATGATGGGTGAGATTAAGGAAACGGAAGGATACCTTACAGATGATACCGGGATAACACCCAGGGTTTTTGATTATTTATTTTTGAGGATTAAAGCGGTAAGGTGTTTAAAATGCTCATGTTTCTAGTGAATAGACTTCTTTTATCTGTTTGACGTGGTTTCTTGTTACCCATGTGTTGTTCTTCTATCAATTGTTGAATTTCTTAAGGATAATCTATTTTGTAGGAAGAAGAGAGCAGGAAGGATTACAAGCTGAAATACAGTTGCAAGTGTTCCTTTTTGGAGATATACAATGAGCAAATAACTGATCTTCTAGAACCTTCATCAACGAACCTTCAAGTAATCTACAATTTCCAGTATCTACTCTGATTTAAATTGTTGTTAATGCTAATGCTACGTATAATGGAGTCTAAGACTCAATATTCTGTCTGTAGCTCAGAGAAGATATGAAGAAGGGGGTATATGTTGAAAACCTTACTGAACATATGGTGGTCACAGTTAATGATGTTCTCCAGCTTTTGTTACAGGTTGGGTTGTGTAGTTAATTATGTCTGCAATTAAAATTTACCTTAATAATTTATGCTGTGCTTAATCTTGCTGGGATCATCTTAGTCTCCTACGCGATTACACAGGGCACTGCAAATAGAAAGGTGGCAGCCACTCATATGAACTGTGAAAGCAGTCGGTCTCACAGTGTTTTCACTTGTATAATTGAAAGCCGATGGGAGAAAGATTCTCTGACTCACTTTAGGTTTGCAAGGTTAAATTTAGTAGACCTGGCTGGTTCTGAAAGGTAACTAAAATTTTATAAGCAAAACCTTCAATATATATCATTGCTATTTCTTTTTCTAAACCTAGGTTGACTTGCACATTTATCTAGGCAGAAAAGCTCTGGAGCAGATAGTGAACGTTTGAAAGAGGCAGCAAATATAAATAAATCCTTGTCAACACTTGGGTAACTATCATTTTATCAAGGACCTGTTTAGCAATTTATTTCCTGTGGAGATATTCGGGTTGAATGTTAATAAGAACTTATAGAACAAGTGGTTGAGTTCAAATGGCTGAACTTTATTGTTTTGTTAGCTTGGTCATAATGACTTTGGTGGACTTAGCGCATGGGAAGCCTAGGCATGTTCCGTACAGAGATTCAAGGCTAACATTTCTTCTTCAGGTTAGATATATGAAGCTTTAAAAATTGGTTGGTTTTTTCTCGGCAATGTTACATGCAATCTAGTAAATTGTTCTCTGCAGTAAGACGATTGTACTCCAAAATTTCATATGCAGGATTCTCTAGGTGGAAACTCAAAGACAATGATCATTGCGAATGTCAGCCCATCCATTTGGTATGTGTAAACTTTTTGCTTGAAATACGATAATAAAATAGTCCTTGCCATTTCTTTGTTCTTATATCATTAATGGTGATTTTTCTTCCCTTGCAGCTGTGCTAATGAAACATTAAGCACTTTGAAATTTGCCCAGCGAGCCAAGCTCATTCAAAACAATGTACTCACCTATTAAAATGCATGCTTTTTTTTTTTTTGGGGTGGGGTGTGCGTGTGTGTGTGTGGATGAATTAGATTGATAAGATATGAATTGATTGATTTTCTTTCCCTTACACCCAAAGGCAAAAGTGAACGAAGATGCTTCTGGTGATATAAGTGCACTGCAGTGGCAGATTCAACAGTTGAAGGTATTTGATTGGGTTTTGAAATTGTGGGAGGTTTTCAATAGAACTATACTACTTCATAGGATTGACTTAACTGAGGCATGTACTGAATTTGAACAGGATCAACTGTCCTTTCTGATGAAAAATAAAAATTTTCCTCCCCCTGTATCAAATTTAGAGCCAAATTCTGAAAGCTGTAGGTTGAGTGAAGTTTCAGAAGCATATGACTCTTTGGGAGAAAGAGTAACAGCAGGTGACAAGCTACCTATTCCAAGCAAGGAGGTAAATTTAATTACAGTTATGGTGAGGTCTTGTATTATGTGTTCTACGAGATTGTTAAAGGATTTTATTCAATAATAGTAATAATTGTTAATAGAGTCTCAAAGCTGTTACATCTGACAGATCAAATGCATTAAAGCTGCTTTGGTTAGTGCCCTGAGGAGAGAAAAAATGGCTGAAACTACAATCCAGAATTTAAGGGCTGAAATTGACCACACAAATTGCTTGGTAAATATGGTTGTAACTTTTGACATAAAATTTAACTCTCGGAATTCCACTTTTTCAACTTGACAATAATTCTATTATACCAGATGTCTTTACCCAAATTTTTTTCAGTGATTGTGGGAAAAAGCAAAAATATTTTTAATATCATGAGCTTAAAGTAATATCACATTCTCAACAGGCTCAACAAAGGGAAGATGACATTCAACGTGCTTCGATTGTGCTTAGGCATTATGAGGAGAAAATTAAACAACTTGAATTATTGGTTGATGGACAATTGTCAACTGAAAAGTATCTCATGGAAGAGAACAGGGCTTTAAAGAAAGAGATTGAGCTACTTAAAGAAAATATTGATAAAAATTCAGACTCATCCAGACTTGCTTTGGAGAATGATAGACTTTTGCAGCAACTGCAACAGTAAGTTGAATAGACAGTTAATATTTTTTAGTTCTAATCTCTTCCTGGATGCCAGGGACTCATTTTGCATAGTGCTTACTACCAGATTCCAAAACTTTTATGAGCATGGAGAGCAAGAAAGATTGTTGACTGAACTGTCTGAATTGCGAGATCAGGTTGGCTAGATCCCATAATTTGTCCTACCCTTGACTGAAAGACAAAACTCAATTTTCATGTGGGACCAGATAATGGATATTTGCTATTTTGTTTTCATGTGCAGCTTCTTGTCCATCTCCAAGAAAAAAATTCATTCTCCACGGGAAATGAAAACCAGGTCAACTTCTTTTGTTATCATGCATATAATAGCTGTGCTGTCTGAGGTTTTCTGTTTTCACTTAGTGTTCTCGTTGATATTTCAGGAGGTTGATACTGCACAAGAGTTTGAAGATTGCCAGAATATGAATTCTAAATTACTCAGGTAGCCAGTTGGCTTAAATAATCATCATCATCATTGTTCATGGGAAATCTGATATTTCAGGGCTTCTATTCAGCAAGTTTCTTAAAATTTCATTCATCATTTAATATTGTAGAATAAGTTTCCTAGCAAGGATTCCATTGTATGCTAAGCTATAACTTTGATGCAATTTATTGATACTGTATTTAATTAAAGGTTTTTTTTGTTGTTCAATATGTTGTGGAGTGATACATTTATTGTGGAGATCACAACACATGATTGTTTGGATTTATAAAACATGATTTTGTTTCATATGGTGATTCTATTATTGTATTGCAGTCGTAAAAAGTATTTTGCAGTAGACCATTAAGAAATTCTCCCTTTCTTTCTTCATTGTTTATGTTGCAGAGAAGTAGGTAAATTACAAACAGAACTTGGAAAGTATTTGAACTACAATCAAGTTAAGTCTAATGCTGTGAGGATTCCTTATGAATTCCTGAGAACACCTGTGAATACATTGCTGAACTTCTCTTCTGTTATTTTTAATCTCTTTCCATCCCTACAGGTTATGAGTTCTTCACTGGTGCATCCTGATATACTTCTCAAGACAGATAAAAGTTCATTGGTGAGGAAAGATATAATCTATTTTGTCCATTTTGTTTATGATATTATTTTTAACAGAAATTCATTTATCTACATACTGTGGTAGTTTGTACTATTATTGCATCTACATCTGGATTTTCAATAATAATAATATGATCGATAGCTTAAGCAATATCACCTCTTGAAGTGAAAGTTGAGAAGCAAAGAAAACAAAGTTTCTTGGAAGTGTGTGCAAATATAAATAGATATATTAAACTCCTAAGCAATTTATCTTCTGTTGAGCAAATATCCTAAAATCTTAAGTAAACCATTATTCATTAACCAAAATAACCCATATCTGTATTAGAAAATTCTTTAATGGAGTTAATGCATGCACATATGCTCATCTTTTTGGAGAAACAAAGTACATAAATGCGTGCTTCATTGTTTTATAATCAAGTTCGTTATAATCAGTTAAGTTTTACAGTTTGAGACAATATCCATGAGATGTGAGTCTGGAGATGAAATGCCATCCTCAACATGGGAAGCTGATGATGCTTTAGCAAATATAATTGAAGGAAATGCTTTGGGAGCCTCAGTGATCCTTGCCAAAGGTAATGAATATGACAACAACAAAGAGTTAGAGGCCAGATTGGAAAGATTGAGCAAGGATCTTGAAGAGGCGAGGTTACTTAGTGACCAATATCAAAAGAAATGGACATTACAGTTATCTCAAAAGCAGCAGATTGAAACAGTCTGTCAAGAGGTTGAGATGGAGACAACCAGTACAATTCTTCACTTGCAAGAAGAGGTTGCCATTCTTCAGTCACAATTTGAAGAGAGGTTATGCTCCATTGCTCAAGAAAATACAGAACTAAAAAATATGATTGAGGAAAAAGAAGAGGAAATTAGGTCACGGTGTTTGGCCTGGGAAAAGGCAATCTTGGAATTGACAACCTTCCTTCTAGAAGGCTCCAGATCTCTCAAAGATGCCTGTGGTCAGGTAAAAAACATTTCTTGTTCATTTCCCCTTGTCAACGGCCAAATTAGTGAACATGTTGACATGGCTGTCAAAAAGTATATTGCGAAGGAGGAAACAATTCAGCAGCTACAAAGTAGCTTGGAGGATGCACGAAAGATGGTTTTGGACATGGAGCTGAAAATAAGCTCCTTAAAGGAAGCAACTGTGACCTTGGGTGCATTTCAACAGCTAGATGACGCTGAAGACACTGAAGAGGCAATTCAGTTACAATCATTGTTAAATGAGAAGACCAATATAATAAGGATGCTGGAAAATGATATAAATTGTAAAAATAATCAAATTTGTAAAGCAGCTAAACAAGCTGATGCTGCATTCCTTGTAGCAAAATGGATTTCTGATTGTTATAATAATGTAGTTCACACAAATGGTGATGTTGAAGATATTTCCATTCCTGAACTAGATGAGCAAGCTGGACTGGGAATTTGTGCTATTTCTGAGAATCAGGATTTTGGAAATAATTTGATACTGAATGATCTTATGGCTCAAGTTGAATTAACAAAACTAGAGGTAGTGGAGATGGAGAATGCTGTAAAAACCTTTTTTGTAGATGCAGAAACACAGACAGGATCTTTCCAAACTGGTGTTTCAGATCTTTCTTCTCTTTACAGGGACTTGATTCAGGACATGGTAAAAGAAACTCAGGATATGAGGAAAGAAGTAAGGGATTTAAAGATGCATCATATAAGTTCTGAGGGTTATACAGTAGATTCCTTAACATCAAATGCAAACAAATGTCAGGTGTTTGCAAACCAGCATCAGGCACTGCATCTGATAAAAGAGCAACTTGTTGAAATGAATAAAAGATTGAATATCATGGAGAAATTTATTACCATGGAAGATCTATCTAGATTTCAACTGATGGATGAAGATCGCATAGATACTGATGAATCAAGTGCTGATAGTTCTTCAGTCTCTGATTTATCGACTGAAGACAGCTCTGCTTCTGGAAGCAAGTTGCACTGCAACTTAAAGTTTACTGGAAAATTAATGAAAACTGTTACTGGATCTGATGATGATTTGATATCATCAAATACAAGAAAGCTCGTGGAAAGGCCAATACATAATGAAGCAGGAGTGTCCTGTCTGAGTAAAGATTTAAATGTAACATATGAGAATTTCCAAAGACTGTATTTTCATTTGTCTGCACTTCTCAAAGATTTGGATGATGAATCGTGTTCTTATCCAAAAGGTATCATTTCGCTACTACGTTCATTTTTACATTAATAAATACTTATTTTATGAAAATCCACATCTTTCTGTATTTAGTCATCAAAAAAGTACTTCAAATGTCTAAATCATATAACAATGAATGACAGAACTGAAAAAGAAGGTTCCATCTTTCCAGTTGAAGATGCAGAATGACGAAGCAGGCTTTGAGAATGACACAGAGGTATGTAACTTTCCATTTAGTGGCCAAATAATATGAAATGAATGCACCAAGTATTAAAAATACTGCTCATTTGATGATTATCAAAGTTTTTCCTGTACAAGAACAAGTTTCTCTTATGTGCTTTAATTCTGTAACTTTATTCAGGTATGTGGTTATAGGGAGATTAAGCCTGATGATGGCATCTTAACCCAATTTATGGAAGCTCATGCAATAGTTAAGGAAGCTGATCTTACTCTACATGCTTTGACGAAAGCATTTGAAGATTCAAAACAGTTGACTGCTATGTGGAAGCAGGCTGGTGAAAACTTGATGATCGAGAGAGCAAGCTTTGCAGAGGAGATTCAAAAACTCAAATCTTCAGTATGTCAGAAAGAAGAAGAGAATCAATTACTGAAGGACCATATCCATTTCAGTTTGGTAGAGATGAAGAATTTAGTTTCTATGCTAGAAGAGCATTTCTTGCAAATGCGAACTGATATGGAGAAAAATTTCATGGTAATGTATTCTGATGTTCTTCTAATGGGGCAGGAGATGCTATTATCTACAAACAACCTGAGATTATCGGTAGAAGATATTTGCTCTCAGGTTGTGGATGAAGGGCTTGTATCTTTTGTTCTGTACAACTGCTGTGTAACACAGCTTGTTAGTAAATTTGCCCGCTTTAGTGTAAACTGTGATTTGCGATCAGCCAGACAAAGTCAATTGCATAAGTTGCCAAAAATTTGCTCAAGTGTTGCAGAGCCTGTAATTGGTAGTAAAAGAGGTCAACGTGAGTTAATCCTAAGTGTGCAAGAGGAACCAGATCTGCCCGATGTTGAAGTATTATACGAAAATATGGCTCTTCGAAAGGAGTTAGACAGGAAACAGGAGTTATTAGAGGGTTTACTTTTTGACTTTAGATTGTTGCAGGAATCAGCTTCTAACAGCAGGGACATTAAAGATCATACTGAGAAGTTAATATTTTCTCTAAGCCAAGTTCGCTATGAGCTAGAGATTAAAGCTGGTCAGCTTGATGATATACTGGTTCAAAACAGAAAACTTGAAGCTTCTCTTGCTGACACTGAGAAGGCCTTCACTAAATCAAATTACGAGCTTATGCTCGCCAAAGAATCAATTGAGAAACTTTCTAATCAAAATGTGGAGTTAAGGGAGATTCTGAAAGAACTATATGCCAATAAAACTGAAGCTGAAGGGCAATTGGATGAACATAAAGAGGCAATTAAAGGCTTGGAAAAAGAAATTGCTAGTTTGACAACAACACTCGAAAACCAATCCCTTTCCTTGTTTGAAAGCATTGAGGACGAACTAAAACAGGTAATAATAGAGAGGGACCAACTCCACGAAGAAGTTTGTGTCTTGAATGGTAAGCTTGAGATGGCTTATTCCTTGGCTGATGAAAAAGAAGCAATTGCCATGGAAGCGCGTCAGGTATCTATATGCTGATTATTCTGGTTCTGGTTCCTTCAAATAATTATTATCGGTGGAACCACTTTTGGTGGAACTGAAATGTCATTTGTAGGAGTCAGAGTCTAGCAAACTCTTTGCTGAGCAAAAGGAAGAGGAAGTCAAGATTCTGGAACATTCTGTTGAGGAACTTGAGTCTACCATAAACGTTTTAGAAAAAAAGGTTAGTTTCATGTGTGATGCACTAGTATTTCAATGCCACAACCATACATGCTTGTTGCTTAGAATGGCTCAGTAAGATAATTGAGCTGATCTTTTACTTATTAGCTTCTTACTGACTAGACTGCAATGCTCTTAGGTGTATGAAATGGATGAGGAGGTGGAAAGACATCGTTTAATTAGTGATTCACTAAAAATGGAACTCCAAGCTTTGAAAGAGAGATTATTGTTAGTTGACAGTTTACCCCAGAATGTTGATTCAGAAAGCATGATTGTTCAAACTGATGAGCAGATATCTTGGTTAGAGCTGCTATCCTTTCCTTGATTTGTATTATAGTTTAATCTTGATCAACTGTTGGTGTAAACATTTTTCATACTACCATTTAACCAAGTGTTGCTACATTATTGAAAGGATAAAATATTTTTTACACTAAAAGTTTGTCATAATAATTTTCTATGTATGTATTATTGGTCTCTGATTTATCCTGGTACAAGATACCATTTACTGGTAAAAAGTCCTCTGCTGTTGTTGTCATAGGTTTCTGAATCTGATTTAATTTCTCTATTATATAAAAAAACCATGATGCAGGCAAATACCCACTAAAACGCTGGAACTTCATGAGGCACTAAATCGGATAAAGTTTCTTGAAAAGGAAAACGCAGACCAAGATAAAGAGGTTTTTTTTTTTTACTTTCACGATATTTCATTAAAAAACAATTTTGTCCAAAAGTCTGACTTTTTGTATATATTCTGGAAGATTAAACAATGCAAAGAATACATCTCTGAAATTGTGTTGCATGCTGAAGCTCAAGCATTGCAGTACCAACAGAAGGTACACATCTAAATATTAGTTCAAGTTCTATCAACTAATTTTCTGGGTCAGATTTGTCAAAATCAAGTTCCACTAACAATATTTTTCTTTGAGAAACCAGTAACTTTGTATCATCTGTTATTCTTACTTTTCCATTTCTTTTGCTTCCCTATCTTTCTTAGTACAAGTGTCTGGAATCCATGTTCCGTGAAGTGAAGACTGAAATGTCAAATTCAACATCAATGGTACCGACATCAGAGAAAACTGAGAAAACCTCAACACGGACAAGAGGTTCAAGCTCACCATTCAGATGCATTACAAATCTTGTTCAGCAGATGAATCAGGAGAAAGATCAAGAACTGTCAGTGGCGAGACTCCGTGTGGAAGAACTAGAAGCACTTGCAGCTAGCCTGCAAAAGGAGGTCTTTAACCTTTTAGATGCTTGGAGACTACATCAAATATCATTTTCATATAATGATTATAATGGTTTTATGATGATACATCAAAAGAAAAAAACAAAGTAAAAAAGAACGAAAATGATGGCCTCAAGAATCTACATCTTGGATGTTGTTTAGTTGTTATTCATAATTATGTTGGACCTTAGTTTTAACCTCGCATACATAAAGGGTGGTTTTAACAGTGTTTATTATTTGGTTGACGGATTAGCACCTTAATTTTAACCTGTCATAGAATTTTGAAATTAGTGGAGGGCCATAGTCAAAGACAAGATTTAGCCAACAATTAAGGCGTAGGCCAGGTGTAGAACTTAGGTTTAGGAATAACAGAACTATTTCATATAGATATTCCATGACAGAGGTGAGAAGCCTTAGTACAGTAATCACTCAATACAGAATAATGGATAAAAATTTTTTATTGGGTCAGGTATGTATGCTACAAACAAGACTAGCTGCTACTGAGAGCATGACTCATGATGTCATTCGGGACCTTCTTGGGGTCAGATTGGATATTACCAACTATGCAGTAAGTTTCATTATTCATTTCGATATTGTGGGATTTCATGGTTGCGATTTCTTATTCCTTGCTTTCTGGCTTCTGGTATATTCTAGGATTTGATAGACCAAAACCAAATTGTGAAATTAGTGGAGGAGGCTCATCATCAAAGAGAGGAGTTCTTTGCAAAGGTACTCAGTGCCAAAATTATGGTGTACACTATATTCAATCGTGTGCTTATCTTTTCTTTTCTTTCTCGTTAGGAAAAAGAGAATCTCGATTTAAGACTGCAGATAAATGATCTTATTGAAGAAAGAGAGAGGTTAGTATACCACCTAAACCATGTCTTACTTGTCTGTTTTCCATGTGTGATTATACGTTCTAGTTTGTCTTCAATTTGGAATAGCTCGTGATTTAGTAGTTCTTTATTAACCAAATGAGAAATACTTCCAAATTCTAACTTACGTTAAATTACGTTATCAATCATGTTACCAATTCTCCCATCCTTAATGTTCCCAGTTTGCTTCCAAAAGATTAGAATTATCTGGAATTGTTGAAAACTACTATTTCCATTATTCTCACTACATTTAATAATTTGCGACCCAGCTGCATATTGGAATTGAAAACTAAAGAGGCAGATATACTTGTTGCTCAGATAGCAGTGCAGCAATTGCAAGAGCGAGATCAGTTGCTTTCAGCACAAAATGAAATGCTGAAGGTATGTTATTGCTCATAATCGTGACCCAGTTTCCCCTTAAGAATTCAAAATTTTCTGTTCATGGTTTTTTTGTTGCCTTTTCTTGTAGATGGACAAGACCAATCTCATGAAGAAGGTAGCAGAATTGGATGACATGGTGAAAACACTACCTGGGACAAGAAATACCCAACCTGCACCACAGTCATCAAGAACCAAGGCAAGTCAATTTTTATAGGGGTCTTGTTACCATTGTATGGTGAAACCTGTTCCTTCTCACTCGTGTGCCTTTCATTTTGTTTTACAGGATAAGGGCTCTGAATTTGGGTAACGTTGGAATTAGTAGGAGGTTGTCTCAATCCGAAAGACGTCTTTCCCGTTTTAATGATGAGCCTGCTCGTTACTGCAAGTTTGCTGTTAATAATAATTCGCAAGGCTAAACAACCAGGTTCTTGCGTGCCGGATGCAGCATGATTTAATGTAAACTGTACATATACCCTTCACAAAAGGGGAAGAAAGAAGATAGCATAAATTTCACACAAAAAGAAGAGTTCGCGAGTGCGTATTTGTTATCCCTCTCCTCAAGGGAGCCAATTCTGTTATTATTTGAGGATCTTCACTTCCCCTTGCTCTGTATTTTGTTCACGTTTTCAGTTGTCACGTTCAAGGGTGTCATCATCTTGAATTTTGAACAGCTGTGCTTGAAAAGGTTTGTAATCCACTTCATTCATTAGTAGGTGTAAACGTAATTTTTTTTTCTCGTGTGCAAATTTATCAGGGGTATACGCCCAGTTGATGGTAATCTTTAGTGTTACGCTAGGTAAAACATGCCAACATGAGTCCATGTAAATAGTGACTGGTGGAATCCATGGAATTGGGACAGTTGAAAGTTGGAACAACATTGTATTTGTCCTTATCAAACTTCCAGATCCAGGAAAGCATGAAAACGTAGGCTGTAACACATTAATTCCGAGACAATAAAAAAAGCAAAGGTACAGGGAAGTATATCTAGTTTGCGAATAACCCGTTTTAATTTTTTGAAAAAGTAGAACGCCTTTTTCAACTAAATAACACATTTTCAACATCCCCTATCCCACCGCAGGCCGCTTTAATCTCTGAGGCAAGGATTCATTTTTCGAAAAATCGAAGTCTGATAGACTGCATACATTTCATGGTTTACCATACTTTGTCCATAAAAGATAAAACACCTTTAACCATTCAGGATAAGCAGTTAAAGGTGATATGCTTTTTTTTTCCCCCGAATATTGTAAATACACTTGTCAGCATTCTCCCTTCCCCCCTCCCCCCAACATGATGACTCTTGGCAACTCATACATGAGCAACTTATCTGAGCGGGGTATAAAACTATTCTTATATTTCCTTAAAATCAGTACACCAATGCCCTAGAATATTTGTCTAAAAGCAAGACCAGCAACAAACGTAGACGGCAGATACATACAACATGCAAATATTAATAAAAATAGTATTATTGCAAACATTCACATATTTCAATAAGCTTAAACATTATCTAAACTAAAACTAACTTCTATTCATTGATAAGGGGGGGGGGGGGGGCGCTAAAACCGGCATATACATTTCCCCTTCCTTACTTTTTCTGAATTTTCTTCTTCTACCTTTCAAATTAACAGAACTTCCATATAAACTAGAAATTCAGATGTTATTTACATAAAATGGTGTACAGGTAAGATTTTAGTATTATCTAAAAGTGTCATAGTGTCACCAGTATTCCGCTTTTCTTTCGTCAGACTCTAGCCAACATGTTGTGATTGACTACTTCCGCCATCATCAATCTGTTCAATGTTATGCCAATACAAGCAGAGCAAAATAGTATTAGCCAATCAGATTTAAATTTAATCAACAAAAACTGATATCTTCTTTCTGAATCAATGCACCAAAAATGTATGAACCACACTACTTCATGGGATAGACAAGGCTTGAGCCACCTACACCACAATGGCACAAAAAACTATGGTCCAGCAAAAGAAAATAAATAGTGACTACCTTCAATTTCTGATATTTTATGATGAGCCTCATATACTGATCCCGTGCCACTGGGTTACGAACCATGGACTTAACTCTATCCAGAGCTTTCTTTACATCTTCTGATTTCTGTCTCCTTCCAATGCTCAAAAATTCATACTCGTCATTTTTGTCAGCATCTTTAGCCACATTACCAACTGTCTGCCCAATCCGGAATCCTCGCAGACCAGCTCCTTTCCGTCTCCAGCGCAGTATTGCCTTTTCCACAATGCCAACAGACCAAACAACTTTTTTGTACTGCTTACGAACTTGGTGTCCTCTAATATGAGCCTGCATAGAAGAATCAAGTTAGATGAGGATTCAATATCATCTCCATCACAAAAATGTAAATAAATTGAGAAATAGAATTCAGATTAAATAAAGTAAAGGAGGCAAATTGACATGTAAGTCGCACAAGCAGTAACAATAGACACTGCATTAAATGTTAAAGAGCAAACATCCATTCTGGTCCCTAAAATGGTAACCATCAATCAATTTAATCCTTACCTTTATAAAATCATCATTTTAGTCCTTAAAGGTTGCAGAGCCCAAAAGATTGAAAACAAAACTATTTTAGGGTGAATCAGGACAGGAGAAAAACATCCCATGAAAAGCATCTACAATGCTAAGATGATGATGATATGATGATGATATAATACCCAGTAACCACATCCAAGTACCTGAATTTTTACAATGCGGTCACGTATTTTCAGAAAATCTTTCCTTCCTTTCCACCCATGATATCTCTTTTGGATCCTTAAAGCTGCAGTATGTAAATAATCCTCAAAGTGACCCATCTTCTGTACCTTGTTTAAAGAATCAGCAACTAGGTCAAGCACTGCTTCAGAAATATCACTGCTGCGCTTGGCTAATTGTCTCTGACAGAACGACCTTGCTCTAAAGGCAGCTAGGATTGAAGCAGCTGCCTGAGCTGATTTTCGAAACACAGCAAGTGATTCTTTCAGATAGTGTTGCTCATCCATTGTCATATTAGATGAGTCACTGTCAACAGACTCAAAAGCACTGTCAGCTGCTATTGTTGTGGCAATATTACTAGTGTCATTTTCCTTGATAGTCAATATAGATAATTGATTTGTCAAATCTGTCTCGGCCAAATACCCAGCAATGCCTTTATGTCCTCTATTTGAAGCTAAATCAGCTGCTTTTTGACCTCGAGGAAATGCTGTTGTTGGATCCTCAACGGCACCTGGAGCCGCACCTAATTTGACCAGCGCAATCACAGTTTCTTCTCTGAAGAAAAGGAAACAAAAAAATGAGAATAGATACACATTCGTAATGAAAAATTACCATATATAGCCCATAAAATACTATGTCAATAATTAAGGAAAAGAGAATCACCCCAACCATATGAAACTACACAACACAAGGGATACTGATACATCAAGAATACAAAGTTTTGAAAAGCATAATACATCGAGAATACAAATTCATTTCTCCAAAGAGCAAATAAAGATGGAATGATACAAATGAAATAAACCCAACACAACATGCATTTTAAGTGGAAAATAAAACCCAAATAGTAATGAACACGAGCACAGAAAATTCTTAACATAAAGAGTTTCTGACCTCCCAAAATATGATGCCCAGTGAAGTCCTGTTCTTCCTCGAGCATCTCTAAAGTTAGGACTAATACCAGCAGCAACTAAAGGGCCCATAGCCCACACATAACCAAGTGCAGCTGCTAAATGTATTACTCCTTGGCCTTCATCATCCAAAACACGTGGTCCTTTTGCTCCTTCATGAACCTTAAATACTAACCACTCATAAAGCTTGTCTCTCATTAATCTCTGGAATAATACATCTCTAGGTTTTATATGATCAACTCCATCAATATGGAAAGTTTCTTCAAATACTCCACTACCATCTCTCATGGAATACATTGTTCCCTTGAGTTTACATTTTTCACATTCAGAAACAGAGCACTTCCACTGCTTATTGTCAGCTCCCAAGTCTACTAGCTTAAGAAGCCGCATTTGAAGCCGTATCTCATCTTCTGCTGAGATTTTAATACCCACAGGACGTAAAAATTTGGTTGGAGTTTCAAGATATTCAAATTCCCTGACCTCGCTGCAGGCTAACCTATTACTGCAGGTAACATAGAATGGAACCCGGCCAGGTGAATGAAGAGGAGTCTGACACCGTATGACATTCTCTGCCAAAACTTCAGCGGAAACCTCAATTTCACCAAACATACATCCCCATTTGGTCTCACTAGAGAGCTTTTTACTTCCCAGAAATGTACCAGCTATTAAAACCTTTTACAGAAGGAAGAAATCAATAAAAAACCAGATTGTACATTTGTTAATTCATGAACATACAAATACATAAAATCTCAAGCATGTGCATGAAAAGGCACACCTTTGTTTTAACCCCAGTATAGGCCCAATCTGGAGAAAAGTCATGGATACTAAATAGTTGTTCTTGGGAAAGAGAAGGTCCTAACGAATTGCCTTGGTCCAACTGCATGTGGTGTAAACTAGACACCTCCTTATCTTCATTCTGAGCATCAAGTGTACTCCAATAATTACCAGAATCTGAAGCCATCAAGGAATTGTCACAGTCTCCACCAATCTCCTTATCCATCCACCTTCCAAAACTATCAAGCTTTTTCAATTTCCCAGATTCAACACGTTCTGATTCATCATTGTCTGTATCATCATCTTGAAGTTTTTGTTCAACTAGGATTGTAGTAGTTGCATCTGGATGATCAGCATGATCAGGGCATTGAGTACGAAATGAATCTAGACCATCCTCCTTTTGCACCTGCCACACCATAATTCAAGAGAAAAAGTCAAATTGGGGAAGAAGCCAGTAATAAACTATATAAAGAACAGAGGAACAAGATTGCATTAGGAAAATCCAGAAATCATATCAAGTATGAAAATCATGCACAACATAGACCTTGAAATCATAAAATATATTATTATACTGTTAACATGCACTTTAGATGCAGTGACAAAACGATTAATTAATTGGATGTCTAGGCCATCTGTTTCAGACTCAGAAGCATAGCTCTACCCAAACGTTTGAGGCTATGAAAAAATGAGGAATCACAAAGATAGCGGAGACATGTCAGTCAAAGATTAAAAATTGTTGATAATTGCAATTACTGCACCTGATTAACAGTTTGTGAAGCTCCTTTAACTGGCTGGATGTATGTGTTAGTAATGAGCCTATCTCTGAAAATTACACCATCTTGTATTCTGCAATCAACATCTAACCTAGCATTGCTTAGCTTTTGAACATTGAAGTCAGTTTCAGAGCCTTCAACGGATCCTTCAACATGCCGTTCTCCATCATGCATGTTAATTGTATTTCTGCTGTAGTTCGGAATTAAGGTCCAGGTAGACAAGCCAGTACCAGGAGACTGGCTAGGAAAAGAAGATGACAAAGATGAAATCAAGGGGCTCCTCAACAACTCAGAGAACCCTAAATCATAAAAAAATAAAATCACAAGTTAAAAATTCCAAATAAAACTGCCATTGTAGACAAAAATAGTAGCCAACAGCCAAAGAGTACCATCTCCATGGGCCAAATAAAGAAATACAGTTAAAGGCATGAGAATGAAGGAGGACCAAGGCAATAGGCATTATCACTGTCACTAAAATCATATTTAACTAATATAGAAAACAACATGATGATTATGTTCAATTTAAGAAAAATCAACATTTGTTAAAGTGAAATTTACTAAAAAGTCAATGTCATATTAGTTTTGAAATATCAAATGGAAAATAATTGCACAAATATAATAATGCATTATGTAAGCAATTCTGTAAAAGAGCAACACGGAAGATCAGCAAGATATAAAACCACAAAAATTTTAAATCTGCATTAATGATAGTTTGCCATAGGAAACAACAGTCATGGCACAAGGGATCTAATTGCAGTGAAATTAATCCACAGAAAAAACTGATATAACAAACATATTTCAAATCTTTTTCAAACCATTCCCATAATTTGAATGAATACTACACCTACAACATCGTACAACTTACCAGTGGCTTCATGTGCAAGCTGAGGTGCATTGTGAAGCATGGATTTGCTGATAGGCTGATCATGAGATGAGGCTTGAGTCTCTGAGTTGACATCCTCATACTCTGAAGCTTGTCCATTCTGACCAACTTTATTTGCACTTGATGTAAAAGATGTTTGAACAACAGATATTTGTGAGTTTATTTTGGTAGAGGAAGGCACTGAACTATTTTGAGAACTACCAACCAGGGTTACAGGAACTACAGGTGAATGTGAGATGCAAGACCTGCAGCCCTGCAAAGTGTAAAGCATATGAGATACTAGAACAACAAAACACTTGACATGCACAAAACAAGCACATCAAAGAATCACAATAATATCAGAGGATCCATTGATGGTTCAATCATTGGTTAGTCTGTGCAATTGGTCACAACCCATAGAAGTAGGCAATCATTATAAACAAGTTTGGACGAAAGATAACAGAAAGAAAACCAACATAGCTGAGCTTACTACTAATCAGAATTAAGTTGATTCTGGTTTTGATATAACACCATCTTATCCAGATAACTTTATATGATATAAAAGAAAAAATGTAAAGAGAAGAACACAAGCATACCATACCTCTTTAATTTCTCGATAATGCACAAGGACAATGTGCTCTAACTGCCTGCAAGCCAACCAGATGTTCAAGTTGACATAAAAAAATTATCAATGCTTAACACTGTCAAATGGGCCTGAACTTATGGAATATCCCTTAAGTTTATGTAGACTGAAATCTACAAAAAAAAGAGGCCATTAAAATGGGGACCACTTCAGCGAGCAATCTTATCAGTTCTCAATATTTATAATATTGTTGGGTTTTCATTGTCAACCTATGAAATGTGACATTTTTATTTAATTATTTATATTTAGAAATTTTTATGTATTAGTATTTTATTTTATTTTATTTTATTTTATTTTATTATAGACATAAACCCACTCTGCAGCTGGCCTAGCCTGCTAAGTCCATAAGGTCCAGATTTGGATTTGTTAATCTTTATGCATTAAGAACAAAATGTAAAAAACTGCATCAGAAAAACATTATTTCAGTGTTTTATAGAAATGAAAAATTTGAGATTCAATCTGTTATTGCTCAAGATTTCAAATAAACTTACAGAATGACCTGATATATTAGCAATCAGCAGCATAACACCTTAGCGAATATTCTCTTAAAACATCAAAGATAGGTACTACAAATCCCAAAATTAATAGGATGATGGAAACTTACTCATCAAGCATCCAATAACTTCTCCGTTGGAAGTTTTCATTATCCTCACCATGAGCATAGTAACAATGCAAGACATCCAAACTACCAGCCTACATTCAACAATAGAATCATTCCATTAGGCAGTTCATGGGATAAAACATAAAATAAAACAAAGGGGTAAAATGGCACAATATGTAACTCAAATGAATAGTTTTATGTAACTCAAAGCAATTGTACTTTCAAGGTATCTTATTGTCTATCATATGATTTTTATTAACCAAAACAAAGAAATTTGAATGAAATGTTACATGTCAAGGAAAAAGAAGAAGCAAGTGGCTATTGGCTATGAAATTGGACGGGAAAAAAACTTATTAGCTTTAGTATAATCCTAGGAGATTCCTCAACCACAATAACATCTGTCCAGCTAATGGGGGAAAAACCAGTAGAATGGTTGCAATAAAGAAAATATATTGAACCAAAAAGGGGATGGTATGCAAACTTATGGTCTATTATTGATTGAACACTTTAAGGACATTATACTTAGATATCCATCCTACTATGCTGTCATATGTCAATGACAACATTTGTAAAATAATTAAATGAGCCATAAATCTCAGGATCACACACGAAGCTACATGCTTATGCACCAAGACATGCTTCCTAAATCATAATGCATTTCCATGGTCTTGTATGGAACACAATAGCAATCTAAACTGGATTTGATTGCATGAGGCCTTTCCATGTTCCAAGACAACAATTGACCCATTGAAGAGGTTCAATAGAAATAACAATTGAAAAAAATAAAACTTACAACTAATAAAATGAACAGCACACCTTCAACTTTTCATGAGCTTCTCTTACAGTCTTCCCATCTTTTTTCTTCCTCCACCGGTGACCATCCTTGCGAAAGTAACGAAGTGCTTTTCGATTAAACAAGAATAGTGATCCACCTGGAAAAAAGGAATAACAAATTAATGTCAAGATTAATACTCTATACTCGTACTAGGCATATTTAGTATGTACAGTAGAGTTAAAGGCATATATATATAAAGGTTGAGGTTTTTTCTTTGGTGGAGCTAACGTCATTAATTGACTTCTATTATCATCACAATTCTCAGTTTCTCAATCTTACATGAACTTAATTAAAAACAGAAAGTAAATTCCAAATTATGAAGCATGACTGCATCACACTTAATGTTTTATATCATCATGAAAGCAACCGCAAAATGTCCCCTGATAAAGGAATAAAATGAGCCTCTGAAGCATGGGAATTCCCAAGTCGATGTTCAAGCTCCAAATCTGGCAAAATCTACCCCCCACCCTTGAATGTAGCAAATAACAAAATCAAGGGGGGAATGAAGTTCAGGGAAAAAATAGGAAATACCTGGAGGCCTAACAGGTGGATTTGGTGTTAACTCAAACTTCCTATAATTACGAAGTATCTCACATATTTCAGCAGGTCGAAGCCAACGATGCTCTGCTTCTCGTAGAATCTCTTCAAACCCTACTATATTCCAGGAAACATTCAGCGATAAAAATCAAATGCATTACTCTGTTTGAATGATAAATTTATACGCATAATCAATGAAGGCAATATTTAAATAAATAAATGTATGACATTGCACAGACAATATGTTGATTCAGTTGGCACTTGCATTAATGCGTCTTGACAACTAGATCACATCAAAGTTCAAATATATGAACGATGTTTACTTTCAAACCAACAATAATGATGATCTCTTATCCATGTGAAGCATACAAACATGATTGAAGACAAGTAAACGAAAGAGAAAAGAACATGACATTCCAAACTGAAGCGAAAATGAACTCAACGAGAAAAGTAACACATGCATGTACATATTCCATTACCAACTAGAATGAAAATTGAGGCAATTAGGGGCATGCATGCAGAAAGAATAAAAAATACCAATAAAGACCACAAAGAAAATGTAAATTGAAAAACAAAAGGCACGAAACCTGGCATTGAAAGGGGGAATCTAACCTAATTGTGCGTTCCGAATATAATTTGAATTTCTGGTGTTGGTCATCTTGTAGCAATAACCTCACACATGGAATTCTGAACAGCCAAAAGGCGAATGCAGAGAACTGAATTGAATCGAAAACCCTAACAGGGAAAAGATGGTGAAGGGTTTTGAAATTGAGAGATGAAGAAGAAGAAAAAGAAAAGAAAGGGTTTTGAAATTGAGAGATGAAGAAGAAAAGAAAGAGAGGGAGAACGGTGGCGCGTGAAAAGCACTTAAAAAGAGAGCGGATTGAAGTCAGAGCTCTCCACGTAGCGTTCACACAAGTCCGACATGGCATTTGTTGCTTACGAAGTACGCCAAAGCCTGACTAACACTACGATACTACAAGCGTTGTGGCCTCCTACGTATCACTGACACTGACGTTGCCTTTCTATTACTTTCGTTAAAAATTTAATATTTTTTGTAAATTGATTCTTTTAGAGCTCGTCTAATTATTATTGCTAATTGAACATTTAATTTTAAATATGAAAATTAATTATTGGATAAACTACTATGAAAGTTAATATCTTCCATGCTTAATTAAAAGACTTTTCCCCTTAATCATAATTTTGTAAACAGGAGCTATTCTGTCACCAAGTAGTCATCATCATCGACAAAATCAAAACTTGAATTTGAGATTTTAAAGGTGAGAAGGTCAAAGGCTAAGAGGGAAGAAGGCCAATGTTTGAAATTGAAGCTCCTATCCTTTGTTTTATGCATATTTCAGGTAATTATTTGTCTGACATTTTAGTCATTGCTATAAATTACCTGTTTTAAATTTCTGGGTTATTTCGATTTTCCATCTCTCATTTATGCATTCAATTTGAAAAAACAAAACAAAAGGAAAAGAAGAATCGTGGTTGATTGGGAGAACCTCAACATGGAAATGTTGTAACTAATATAACTTACAAAAGTCATCGAATTTAGAGTGCAGTACAATCTCTCTTTCTCTCTGCTCATAGAAACTTGAGATAATCTTGAATAATTTTTTTAACAAATTTTGACATTCACAAACTTTCTGGCAGTAGTAGATCTCAAAATCATTTTCAAATACACACAAAAAATATACTCCATAAATATGACTTCATTTTAGTAAGTCTTTTAGAAAGTTGTACTAGTTACATAATTTTGAATGAAAATTACGCCTTATGGAAAAAAGCCGCAATCTAATCACCACCAGCCAGGTGAAGTTCAAAATCATTTATTAAACAAAATATATAATAAGCTCAAAAAATTTATTAAGAAACTAGAAAAAAATTCCTTAAAACAACCTAAGTAAATAAATGAGCATTTAGTTTAACTTCTTAAAAATATTTATTTTTACCAGCATCATGAAAAAACATTTGAAAAATGAAATTTGACTAAACTCATGCTAAATATTTTTTATAATAAAAATATTATAAAAAATAGTTATTTTTAAACAAAAAAAATGCATGTGTACATTACTCTTATAGGCACGTGTACATCTGCACTTGGCAGTTGGGAGACTCGGAGTCGTGGACTTGTTACTAAAGCGGATGTGCTCCATGCAACTCGTAAAAGGGTCACCGAAACTTCAAAAACAAAAAGGAAATTTTCCATGAAAAAATATCCTATAAGAATACTGTGGAATCCCAAGTGCAAGACCGTTTAGACTCTGCTAATTTTAACCAAACACATATTTGAGGTGGGAAAAATTCAACTTAGTTGGGATACTTAATCCTATTAGAACAGATAATACATCCGGCAAGTCACCCTAATATCAACATGTGACGGCATTTCAAACACAACTATCTTCTCTTCTTTCCACCCTTCCCAGATTTGTTGGAAGGTCCGGCGGTTGATGTTGATGCAGCCTCCTGCTTTTTAGTCCTTCCATGATGTCTTGGTACCATCTCTGCAACGCGAAGCATTAGTTGCTTTCCTGCAAAACAATCACAACCAAAAATTGAAAACATCAGATATTTCAGATTCATTATACCACAAGGACACTCCATGATGGCTAGGCCATCAATATTTTAAAACCATGCAACAATAATTCTTGATCGGTATTGACTGCGATGCTAGTATCTACAACAAAATACTGTATCTCTGTATCTCAGAATCAAAACTTTTCAAACTTCCGTCTCTTGCATATTAAGTCATAAATATGAACTGAAAATGTACCTTCCTATTAATTGACATCTACGATTGATTAAAAGTCAATTAAACAAGGTAACCTCTGCCAATTTATAATCTGGCTCTTCTCTCTGTTTCTTAGCAAATTGCCATGAATTTCATATGGACTAAACCTGAAAATACAATCTATGTTTCTCCGTGTTAGTACGGTTGAATGGTCCAGCTAGAAATGCTATCTATGTTGTTCAGATAACCAACAGAAATCTTGTATAACAATCTATCAGAATTTTAAAAAGATTAACAAAACTTGAGTTTCTTTTGTTCGGTCATGGAAGGATTTAAAAGGAGAGCCAAGCAAGGTGATCAAGCAATGGATATATTAGAATTTTACCAAGTGTAGGGGAAGGATGCAACAGGACCGCAGCTAATTTTCTCATTTAGAACGTATAAAAATTGTCAATCTTGAGTAGAACCAGTATAATCTTTTAGACCTAGTATACTATAGCCAAGCAGTTACGCTTCCATTTCTAAAATTATACAATTAGTCCATTACTGATTACATATTCTACATCCTAATCTAACAGCTATTAAATCTAAATACCCTACAATATTAAATAACAGTTATAAAATTGTAATTGCTACAACTATGTCATTCATATAAAAGATATTAAGTCTAACACAGTTTCTTAGCATCACTTTCATCTTCCACCCCCCCCCCCTCTCCCTTCCTCCCCCATGCCAGTTTTTGGGTTTACCATTCTCCAAGAGGAAAATCACTTCACTTCAAAATACTATTTCAAGACAAAATGAACTTGATTGTGGAGTTACACATATTTAGCAAAACGTGTCAGAGAATGTGATTGGGATCATTGAGGCATGAAAAAACCATCCGGTCTTATGTGTAAAATTGTGATTTTAACTACCATGCTCTCTTCTGAATTGTGATTTTACCCACAGCTTCATGTAGATCACTGTTTCCTTTTTCTTTGATTCTTTACAGTGTTCTAGAAACAAACTACTTCAACTGAAACAGAATGCACTTTTACCATGATTAAATTTGAATTCTTAATAGTAACAGGCTACCAGCTTCTATCATTTGGGTGTGTGTTTTAGAACTTGACTTTAGAAAATTCACAAAACAGAGATTATCACACATAACAAATGTTAGCAATATGCAGTTCCTGTGTAGCTCTACTTGATGAGAATGCATAACAAGAGGTTGCATGTATATGGTGCACGGTAATAATGTCTTGCATTCCTTGGGATCCAAGTATTTCTCATTCAAAATCTTATTTCTAAGACAAAAGAAAATATTTTCAATTTATCAATTTGATGCTTAGCTCCAGTCCAACTATATGAATATGCAGCTTTTTCCTAATCATGTATTTTACTATTTTATGTATAAAATTGAAGACAGTCTAACTTCTAATTTCTACCCAAAGTAAAGTTTATAATACCATAATATTCTTAGGGAGCATTTGGAAGAACTTATATGGGCTCGGGGAAGTAATTTGCAACCTTATTATAAGTTCCTTTCAACTTAACTCAATATGCTTTGTGGAGAAACTTACTAAAATATATATATTTTTAATTTATTCAACTAAGTTAACAATCAAACTTATGAATGTGCTCTCATTTAATACGACCTTATCAAATAAGGAGTCAATTAAACTATTTATCCAAATGCACCTTAAGCCCATGCCACGCTCCATGATAACCAGACCCAACTCAGTGTCTAAAGTGATAAAAAGTAGAATACAATAAGGAAACCAGTAGAAAGGCTTGTTCAACTCTACGCCACATGCCATACATATAAATAAACTTGGTGATGTAATCGACAAATACCAAGTAAACATAAACTTGCATAAATAGACAATTTAAGCCGACAAAGCCAGCCAACTGAATTTCCAAGTGGGTGACAAAATCACAATTGGGAAAAGATATCAAAACTTGGTGATCAAGTTTAAGAACATTCATATCCTCAGAAGACAAAGAAAAATGGTGTGGGTTCAGGCATTGAGGTATTAAATGAATGAAAATCTACTAATATTAACCTTAATCACGATTTAACATAGTGATTAAGGTTAATATCAGTAGATTGAGAATGAATCTTACTGGATGAAATGGAGGGATTAAAGAGAGTGCCATCTTCTTTTTTGAGCAATGCCCTCACTCGCCCTCTTTGCATGAAATCACGAGGGTAAGCCTTATCTATCTGATCCAATAATTGAAGCGTTAAATCAAAAGGAAATGGAAAATCATAAAGAGCAAGTAAGAAAGTAAAGAACCTCGATTGCGAAAGGGATTTTAAGATAGCTGCAACAATCACCAATTTCAGCACAAGTAGGGTTTTCGCACGCTTTGGTGAGTGCGATGCGCCTTCCTTCTGCCACCGTTTTCTTGGAATTTATGTAAACGGGATACATCACAATCCACTTCTTTATGCTGGGCAATTCGGCAGCATCCATATTCCTCACTCAAAATGAAAGCAAATCGCAAACTCAATCTTAAGATCTGTAGTATATATGAGGATTGATGAATGCGTTGAGAGAGAGAGGTTTGGTGAACGTAAAAGTGAAGGAGCAGAATGGACAACCATAGTCTATTCTATTTGGGCTACGGCCCAAAAGCCCATCTAACCAAATGGGTTAGGGTCAGGTCATGGGCCTTTTTTCTTCCTAAATTAGAATATTATAAAAAATTTATTTGAAGAATTATCCGCATAATGACAAAAAAAAATAAAAGAGAGAGAAGAAGAAGAATTATAAGCAATATGAAGCCGTGCTAATAATGATTATGTCTTTTGAATCAAATGTTTTATTTTAAAAATTTTATTTTTTATTTTATTTAATATAGTAAAATATTAATTATCAATAATAAAAACATTTTGCTGTAAAAAACTAGTTATGTTTTGGCTCGACCAGACAAAGACAACGTTGGTAAAAGCCACGTGATTCTCCCGAATATATTTCCTTCACATACAATTTAAAGCAAAGAATATCCCTATGCGAGAAAACGATCCTTTTTAAGAAACGGAGAAGATAAACTCCATAGAAAGTTTATATAGAACCTTTTTGCTTGTAGCAATGCTAAAAGTAGAGAATATGTCTGCTGCTACCTCGAACTAATAACAGTTTTCTTCAAGAACAGGATAAGTAACCATAATATTCACTATTAATACAAATAACGAAAGCATCCTGAACATATGACACCAAAATAGTCGACATTTCTGAGCTCATTGCCAAAGCTTATATCTAGTTATGGTCATGGATAACCAAGATGGTTTGTCCCCTTTCCTTCTTTTTTGTGTAGTATCCTTTAAAATGTTTGTTTTCAGGTGTGTCTACGTAGTTATTTGAATTTATATTAACTTCAACTCTAAGGATTAGTTTTAATTATCCATAAATAGAAATTATAATAAATTCAAATGTAAAATCAACAAACCTGCTTAGCAAGGAGATTTCTAGGGCAGGGATGAATTTTGGATTTGACTTTCTAAGCTTAGAATATACCTCACAGATAATAAAAAAAATGTATTTTGCATGTTTGTGATGGATTGTCACCTATCATTTTTTTGTCTTTCATTATGCCACAATTGCTTGAATAATTAAACCAGTATAATTTTATAAAAACATCAACTTTAATCCTCGAGATTGATTTTAAAGCAGCTGGATACTATTTTTCCAAAAAAAATAAAATATTTATTACATTAAATATATAAGAAACAATGAAAACATTTTAAATAAAAATATTATTTTTATAATATTGAAATTCAGTTATAAAAACAGCTAAAGTTAACAAAATTGATAACTTTAAAATTGTTTAAATTGAAAGGAGAGATGTTGATAAATAAAATGAGATTGTTTTCGAGAAAAAGTAACTCATTATGTACAATGATTTCATTCACTTATAATATTACAGGCATTTCACGATCCATTGTAGATGCTCCACCTGCTCATTACGCAGTGAAAATACAATCATTTTCACTCATGACAAAGAATTCTATAGAGAGATACGAGTCAGGGAATTTTGAAGCTGGAGGCTACAAATGGTATACCTTTATATGTTCTAGTTGATAACAGTATCAATGATGTTGTTGGTTACAAAGGTGGCTTATTGTAAGTTCAGCTAATGCATCAAAAAAGGTTTCATGGATAATAATTTTGCTCCAATGACTGTTATTACATTTGCTAACACCTCGTAGGAAGTTAGTTCTGTACCCTAGCGGAAATAAGAGCATGAATGTAAAGGACCATATTTCACTCTACTTGGCGTTGGACGAAGCAAGTTCACTTCATCATGGTTGGGAAGTTTATGTCAATTTTCGGTTGTTTTTGCATGATCAGAACAACGACAACTACCTAGTTGTCCAAGGTATGTATTCCAATTTTTGAGTGTATTTACTTACCAATTACATTTCCACGATGAATTCTTGAGTAGATTTTGTTTGCACAAGTTTGCATAAATTAAACCAATCAACAAATGACACATCTCATTATATATTAAATATTTACATAAATATTTGCACTACTCAATTTATTTTATATTTAAAGTCATGATGATGTCTCCATTGTTGATTGGTTTACTCTACGCAATTTGTGGAGTTGTCTGTGCTAGTCTTTCTCTTTACCCACATCATACACAAACCAAAGTATTCAACCTCTGAAAATTGATGCATTTTCAAGGTTTATGCTAGAAACATTTTTTTTAAATTGTATCGCACATGGTAGATTACGTTTATCTTGTGTTCTTGTAGTTCAGCTTTTTACCTGTAAAGCAAGGGTCTCTTACCGTTTTTTGAACACTGCATTTAACAGATGCAGCGAGAAAGGAAAGGAGATTTCACAAGATGAAGGTTGAATGGGGATTTGATCAATTTATTCCTCTTAAAGATTTCAACCTTATCTCTAAAGGTTATTTGGTGGGTGATACGTGCGCAATTGGAGCCGAAGTCTTTGTTTGCAATGAAAGAAGTACAGGTAAAGGAGAATGTTTGGTAATGATGAAGGATGCCATTACTTACAAGCACCAAGGCGAATTTGATAACTTCTCAAAGTTGGATTCAGAATATTATGAGTCTAAAGCTTTCAACGCTGGAAACTACAAATGGTACAAATGATCAATCCTATTTTGTTGCGGATGTACTCCAATGTGGTCATCCAACTTTTTTTAAAAAATCTTTAGTTTATTAGGTGAAGATGAGGAATCCAACCCGCAAGAAAATATAAATTGATATACATTGTTAAAGAAAAATTTAATATGATTAATTCACACAAAGGACTTTTGCTTCCCAAGAGTGCTTGAAACTAACAAGAAGTTTTGTTTTGACAATTTCCTAATTTGTCATTATGCTGTTATTTTGCAGGAAGATAAAACTTTATCCCAACGGAAAAGGTGCTGAAGTGGGCAGTTATATTTCTCTGTACCTGGTCTTGGCTAACCCATCAGCCCTTTCTCCTAGTTCCAAAATATATGCGCAGATAATATTACGCATACTTGACCAGAAGCAAGCCAAGCATCACTTTGGAAAAGGTAGAGTTTAGTCACTTTTTATGAGCTGCAATTCCTCGAGAAAAGTGCTACTGATACAAAATGATAGTTGAATGAATGATTAACATTATGTGTAACATTCTTCGCAAGCCTAAGCAAACAATAGCATAGATTCAGTTCCATAACTGACAGTTCCCCCTTTCTTTTTCTTGCAGCTAACTATTGGTTTAGTGCCTCAAACCATGAAAATGGAGCATCAAGATTTATGTCTATAAGTAATTTCACCAATCAATACTCTGGTTATCTGGTGAAAGACAGTTGCTTGGCAGAGGCAGAGGTTACGATTCTTGGAGTGGTTGATGCATTGTCCTAACTTTGTTTAATGTTTCAATGTATGTATATATGCATATTCCAAATGGACATAAAAAAAAACAACGTGGCTCTCTTATTAACCTTTAAATTGTACATTTTATTGAATAAATCATTATTTACACAAGAGATTCTTGAGTCATGTCATACAAGTACATTATGTACTGAAGTGGATTACAAATATTGACAACAATACACAATTTGCGAGTACTTACAAAAATTAACAAACACAAGAAATTAGCCAAATGTTTTCTCACTGCTATAACACATGTACAAAAACCCATCATCATCCTTGTAAGATTCATAAATGGAGTTCATGAGACTTGCTGTAAATGGAAACATGAAAGCCACAGACAAAACACAAATTAGCATACAAGAAGAAAGAAGCTGAACAACTCTTACAAGATTTTGGTGATAAGGTGCTTTTACCAGTCTGAGGTAACGTGTTCTTTACAAAAATAAACAGTGCTTTCCCAGGATTCAAACGTAGCCTGCTACTCAAAATGTGAATAAACTGCCCAACAGACATATCTCGAGGAACCAAATATCTAAAAGAGTAAAAAAATATATATACAAGGAGATCAGCCCCATCAAGACGATTATGGAGTAAATAATGAAATTTTATTCAAACTTATTACAGTCGGTGAAAAAGATTAGAAAACAACTGTAAACATAAATGACCAAATGACAAAGGTTTAAATAAGTTATTAGACCTTGAATATATCATGGTTTTTTATTTTAGTCCTCATAAAAAAAATATTTGGTTTTATTCTCTACGTTTAACAAAAATGATTTGGTTCTAGTCCCTTAACAGGACTAATACTGTGTTTGGTTTGCATCTAAGAGACAAGCACGAGCGTTTCTAACGCATAAGCTACTCTCAAGAGAGTCTAAAATTACGTGCGTTTAAACCTTTCTAACGCAGAACCAAACTCATACTAAAATGCACGTGATTTTTGTAAATTTTAGGAACTAAAATCAGGGGAAAAAGTCAACACTGAAAATAATGGTTTATCTTCATATAATTCAAAATTTGACAAATGAAATAAACATTAAAAGCACTACACAAAAAATTAGCAACTCCAAATACCTAACAGCATGTTTAATCAAGACGTTGACTATTCTGAAATGAATAATTGGAACATTATAATGGGGTAATTGTTGAATGCAAGTGAGAGTTTTTAGCAGAGATGTATATTATTTAGTAAAATTTAAAGTGAATCATAACCATATAGCTAAAACTTACTTCTTCTTGTCCAATTCAGGTAGGTCTGTCCTTGAATATTTCTCAATGATGATCTGCAACACATAAGTCATAGATTCATTGCTTAAATTCAAACATTCAGCTTTAAAAGGTGAAAAATCAAGCATTTGTGGCCATCGCTTTCCAAGGTGGAATTAAAATTACAAAAAAGAGGAAAATCTGAACCAATATGTCTTACGGGAACTCGATCCGGATATTTGACAACGATGCATTCTGATTCCTTCCGTCTTTCATCTGCATCCAATCAAAATCCACCAAAAACAATGCAATGCCAAATTAATATTACATATTTGACAGTGAAAGGAAATATAAACAATTTTTTAAATTGAATTATTCAAAAAGAAACAAACCGAATGAGAATTCTTGTTTGAAGGACTTAATCTTTCCCATGAATCTGAGATTAAAGCAGTGTATCGTGTGAATTCGAAACTCCCAACAAAAATGGAAATGCGAAATAAAAACTAAAAAAAACGATATCGTTTAATTATTGCGTTGCTTCCACCGTCAACCTTTCTGGCATTATTATGCACGTCAACGTCACTTAACAAACGAATGAACCACGTTAGTTCTGAACCATACAATTATGGGCTATACATGGGCCTTTTTTGTCGTTGTTAAGGCCCAATTACATTCTGATCAACAACTCGCTTTTTGTTTTGTTGTATCCATGGGCTTGCTTAGTTTATGTCCCCTTTTTTTCTTTTTTGAGTCCATGGGTTTGACGCGATAGATTTTTCATAATATCGAATATGAGATGTTTTTGACTATTCATAGGATATTTGGGTACGCCATCTGTAAATTTGAAAATGTATTTATACTTATTTATACATTAGTAATTGTAAAGTGTGATTTATCTTATATCTTAAAGATTAGAAAATAATAATTTTTTAACTAAATTATTGATTCTATTATCTATTAATATAAAATTAATTATAACAATTGTTTTAGTAAAAAAAATTACTAAATTTTTTCAACTATAAAGAGTATGTAGATTTTATCTTTTGTCTCTTAATCATGTTATTTTAAACATGTTGAAGTCGATTCAATTGGACAACATGATTTAACATTTAATAAAAATTGAATATATTTAGCGTCTTCAAAATAAATAAAAAAAAAAGAAAGTACTTTTTAATAATTGCATGCAGAAAGATGTAAAAAGAAATTGTAATTAACACGTGTCTTTATTTGGGTCCCTCACTTTTGCATGTGTGTGGCATATGAGGAGGTTTCAGTGTTGATTTGATGGTGGCGCAGAGAAATGCAATTATTAATGAGTGGGTAAAACTGCAAAAGATTTTACAAATACTACATTACAGAAAATAATAATAAAGTTATTGTTGGTGTGAAGTTTGAAGAGGACGTGGCAGCATAACCCACCTACCCAATCTTTGCACTGCAACAACCAACGGTCAGAATTGGTGGCAATTTTCTATTCAACCACATCCCTTTCATAACTTCCTACTTACCTCGTGCGTTCTGTTTTACACTTTATTTATAAATTGTTTTTAACTCAATTAAACTTTGCTCTTTGTTTTGTAAAATTGTATCATTTGAAATATAATTAAATTACCATCGTATTTAAAATATTATAGTAGCATAAAATTTACATTTTTTTTCTTGTATCTTGTACTTTAATTTTTTTTTTTGAAAATACTGAATCCACCTAAATCTGATTATTTGTTAACAAGCGTATAATGAACAATACTGAGTAGTTTAATTACACGATATTTGATATGGTTACCAACTTCGTTGCTCTTGGTAAGCTATCCATATCAATACATTAAATAAAAAATTGATATTAATACTATCATAAAAACCATATTGAAGACAATATATATTAATATGCAACAAATGTTAATTAATATCTCAAGTACATTAATTAAATAAACTTTTAAGTATACTAATGATGTTAAGTATTAATTTTTATGTTTAGCTTTTTAACCTGATGAATTTGTTGATTAATATATTTAAATTAATAGTTAAAATATAAGAAATTACAGGTTCATTATTTTTGTTTGTCTTGTTTTGTAATAAAAAATATTAGTAATATACTTTTCAACATATTTATTTTAAAAAAATGATATAATTTTTTAACAAAATATGAAATTAATTTAAACCTTTACTTTAAATTAAATTAAAAAATTATCATATATTTCCTTTTTATCTTTAATAAACTCCTTTATCAAAATACTTTGATTTGAAGCAAATACTAAAATTGAAAAGTAATTGAAAAATAAAATATGACTATTCTATTTACCTCGTCAACCAACCCCTAAGTGGTAGAATTGGACGTGGAAGTTGGCATTGGGTTGAGAGTCAAAACCACACGACTAATTTAAAAGTTAAGCAAAAACTAAAGTCAAAATCAAAATCAAAATTAGCCATTAACCAATCGACAATACAACCTTGTGGCCTGTGGTGGTAGCTGTGGATGTATCAACTTTTACCTTCATAAGGACTCACCCACTCCCTCCCATGTTCATCCAACGGTTCAGATCCATTCTCACTCCCCAATCGCAGCCGTCGATTCAAAAAACACAGTATCATAATACAAGTGAATGAATCTAACCCAAAATCTAATCTCGTTTCTTAGGGGCTTTTGTGTCATTGAATCACACCAGCCACGCATTTTGCCTATAAATGCCAACTCATTGCTCACGTTTCAACTCGCATTGTTTCAGAGCAGAGGCCCCCTCAACCACCATCCCTCGTTCTGAGCCTCCTTTGCAGTTTGCACTCTCTCCCTCTCTCCCTCTCTCTGCTCCTCTACTTGTCGAGGTACCCTTCTTTTTCCTCTGTTGCAGGCATGACTTACTCTGCTACCTTCATTCTGTTAATGTCAACTTTGATCGATATTCTTGTTTTTTCTTGATAAATTGTGGATCTTGCTCTTCTGGGTAGGTTTGGTTTGTTTTTCTTTAACTGGCTCGGTCTTTGTTACCCCAGATGGTTTAAACCGAATGTGAACTGTACTGGGTATCGCTAATTGCTGTGCTCACATGGGGAATTTGCTTATGGCTTTCAGATCTAGTGGAATTCATATGATTTACTGAGAAAAAAATCACCTTTTTTAGGGGGATTTTGGGTTTCCGTTAAACCTTGGATTGACATGGGGTTTGGTGATTAGAGGGTATTTTTAGCAAAGTTTGGAGTTGTACTTGCTGTGGTACATAGTTGGAAAATGGGACTTTTGTTTTTTTGGTGAATTTTATCTTTGATGTTGCTCTTGCTGTGTTTCCTTTTGTGAGTGAATTTGTATTTAGGTTCTAATTATCTGTGCTTCAATTTTTGTTGGGGTTGTTGTGTAGTTATTAAAGTTTAAAGATGGCAGAGACTTTCCTATTTACCTCCGAGTCAGTGAACGAGGGACACCCTGACAAGCTCTGTGACCAAATCTCCGATGCTGTGCTCGATGCTTGTCTTGAACAGGACCCAGATAGCAAGGTTGCGTGTGAAACATGCACCAAGACCAACTTGGTTATGGTTTTTGGAGAGATCACAACCAAGGCCAACGTTGACTATGAGAAGATTGTGCGTGACACATGCAGGAACATTGGGTTTGTTTCAGAAGATGTAGGGCTTGATGCTGACAATTGCAAGGTCCTTGTATACATTGAGCAACAAAGCCCTGATATTGCTCAGGGTGTGCATGGCCATCTCACCAAAAGGCCTGAGGAAATTGGTGCTGGTGACCAAGGTCACATGTTTGGCTATGCCACTGATGAGACCCCTGAATTGATGCCCCTTAGCCATGTTCTTGCCACCAAGCTCGGTGATCGTCTCACCCAGGTTCGCAAAAATGGAACTTGCTCTTGGCTGAGGCCTGATGGCAAGACCCAAGTCACTGTTGAGTATTACAATGACAAGGGTGCCATGGTTCCAGTTCGCGTTCACACTGTGCTTATCTCAACTCAACATGACGAGACTGTTACAAATGATGAAATTGCTGCTGATCTTAAGGAGCATGTTATCAAGCCTGTGATTCCTGAGAAGTACCTTGATGAGAAGACCATTTTCCACTTGAACCCCTCTGGCCGTTTTGTCATTGGTGGGCCTCATGGTGATGCTGGTCTCACTGGCCGCAAGATCATCATCGACACTTATGGTGGATGGGGTGCACATGGTGGCGGTGCCTTCTCAGGGAAGGACCCAACTAAGGTTGATAGGAGTGGTGCTTACATTGTGAGGCAAGCTGCTAAGAGCATTGTTGCCAGTGGACTTGCCAGAAGGTGCATTGTGCAAGTGTCTTATGCCATTGGTGTGCCTGAGCCTTTGTCTGTCTTTGTTGACACATATGGTACTGGGAAGATCCCTGATAAGGAGATCCTCAAAATTGTGAAGGAGAACTTCGATTTCAGGCCTGGCATGATCTCTATCAACCTTGATCTCAAGAGGGGTGGCAACAACAGGTTCTTGAAGACTGCTGCTTATGGACATTTTGGCAGAGAGGATCCTGACTTCACATGGGAAGTGGTGAAGCCCCTCAAGTGGGAGAAGGCCTAAGTGATTCTCTTCCGCTCTGTGCTGTGGGAGTTTTGAGCGTTGCCGTTATAGTGTCTAATCATCATCAAGTCTCTCAATGTCTCTGTGTCTCTCTCCTCTTCCTCCTCCTATTTTGTTTCTTCCATCTTCATTTGTAATTTTTTATATGATCAACCAAAAAATGTACTCTCCGTTTGTATGCCCAACCCATATATGCTTTTATGTAAAATCAAAAAGAGAGTATTCAATTTGAATTTATCAATTGCCATACTTCTCTCCTTGAACTCATTTTCACGTGCATTTTAAATATCTAATTTCCCATGTCTCAAAAAATCACGCTACAGTTTTGAACAGAGAATAAATGAACCAACTGCTTAAACTACCCACTAAGTGGTTCTGGTTTCATTATTTTCATAGTAATAACACTATTGACCAAGTAAAACATTTTGTCACTAGGAGTGCTGTAGATTCCTCTATATCATTTTTTGCACGTTGTATACTTAATTGTCATTGTTTATTTCTTGTTTGCACTGGTGTTGAGAAAAGGAAGTTTGAACCATGTGCTCGTTTCTTAATACGTATCTAATATGAATCTAAAAGGAATAGGCAAGGTAAAGTTGATATGTGTTGGAGAAGAAGCTCTACTTGTAATCAGGTGATGAAGAGTCACATTGATCAAAAGGGTCCAATTGCATTAAAATTTATTAACTCGCTTTCTTACTCTGGGACATAATTTGCACATAAATTCTAATAATATAAATGCATACAAAATCTTCCACAATATTTTTACGCATATTTTTTTTAATTTGGAAAAAATATTATCACAGAATCACTCTATTGACGGTTTTAAAAATAGTGTTCAATCGATATTCGAAATGTCCAAATAACATAACTGATATGCAATTATTTGGTTTGTCATACGCTTCCTTTGATTGCTAGTATTAATTAAGGTGCATCAATTTTGCTGGGGTCCTGGGGACATCTTAAGGACTGCAAAAGAGTCCTCTGAGTAATTATTTAAAGTTCTCTCTAAAATTAACTACGAATCTACTAAAGGAAGGGAAAATAAAAAGTACGGTGAGCAATGTCGCTGTTATGGCCCCATGAAAAGTACCTGATGAAGTGGCACTGATAGGTTGTCGGTATAAATGCTGCAAGACAAGGGTCAGACAGATGTAGATTTTACGTTTACTCTTAGCTCAAAGCGAATCTTGGCATTCCATGTGAATGAATAATCCTTCCAACTTATTGACAAGATAGGAAGGGTACTCCTGCTTCTCCCATCTCTCAATTCATCATTTTAAAAGATTCTTCAACTTAATAGGTGTCCGTTCAGATATTTCATACACATAATTTTTATTTCTTAAAGCTTTTTGGTACTAAAAACTCTCAAATAGGTCCAAGTATTAGCAGACAGTTGTGTCTCGACGGTGACAAATGAGCTAATCCAATGTTAATATCTTGAGCAAAAATGGCCAAATGCCTACAGAGGAACTTCAATGGTCAAATTCATGGTAATTTCCATAAAGTAACAAATATGTACACAGTGACGAGAGACAAGCCTTATATAGGACTTGAACACTAGTAATACATGGCCAAAATATGAAAACATGGCTTCATGGTATACTTCAAAGTAATACAACCGTGGAACATTCTAGAGAAATAGGTGCAAGAAGTATGATTTGTAGGGTGTGTTCCCCTGCTCTATGGGGTAGTTGTCATTCCTTATCAAAATGCTTTGCTGAACCTCATAAGTTATATTCGACCAGTGGAAAAATGGTGTTGATTGTCCTCAAATGTTGATCTTCAATCCGGACGTCTCCTAACTCTACCCACAAATAATAATCAGACAAATGATAATATTTATCACATATTTTTTTTACAATTTAATTTTTAACATGCATTTTTTCAATAAATTCATCACTTCATTAGAGTACATTTAAGAGCTTTTTCACATACATTTTATAATATAAGTCTGGCTAATTGATAAAACATCAAATTTTTTTTCTTGAAAAACAAGTTAGATTATATAAAAAAATTAAACGAATAAACTTATTAATTATATTTTAAAAAATGATCGTTAATTTCTTAATCAATAACCAAGAGTAATTAACATTTATCTTAATTAATATCTATTTTTTATTTTAAATTTTTTATCACATTTTTTACTTTTTCCCCCTAATTACTTCTACTTTGTAGTTTCTATTGAACCCATCAAACCCAAAATATAATTATTGACTTGAACCTTGCCCCATTTGTCCACAGTGAATGCCAAACTATTTGGATATTGACATTTTGGGCATATGTGTTTGTTATTGGTGTTAAGTGTTAACTTACACTTTGTCCTCATTACCCTCTCCCAAAAAATACAAACACGCACCCTTAGCTTAGTCCCAACACTTGTACGAGTCCAACAACCAACGTGTCCTTTAATTTCTTGGCCCACGAGTCATGAAAAACAATGCTGTTCGAGAACAATAACATATTATGGACCAAAACACAAACACAATAAAATCTCTTACCCAAAGAACAACAAAATCTGACCCAAACGACAACGAAAGGGAAATAACGAATCTTTCTTTGGCATATCGAGTGAAAACCAACCACGTTATTGCCTTTGTCATGGCGATTTTGTAGATAATCTACTTGTAAACAATTCCAAGTACCCAAATCGCATGCATGACCACTTCAAGTATTAACTACTTGGTTCATGCAAAGACCAAAGAAAATTAAGTCTTGCAACACTTGTTCAAAGATTAAGAAATAAAGTTTTGAGTGAAAATACCCTCCATCGGACAAATTTGAATCAACAAGACTACTAACTTTTGTTAAAGAATCTTACTTTTTCCTTTTATCTCTGCAACTATCCTTTTTTAATCTATGTTATCTTCCCTACACTACATCCAATAATATTCTTAATCATTCATTGTATATTTATTATATTTTAAAATAAAAAATTATAATTTTAATAGTCAAATAATCTCTAATAATAATATTACAGTAAAGAAAATTTATTGATCTTTTATTTATTCTTGTATTAATTTTAAATTTATTTATTCTTGTATTAATTTTAAAATAATATAATTTTTTTAAGCATGTATAATTTTAAGTTTCAATTCTAATAAACGCAGATGTGTTATATATATATATATATATATATAAAAGAACTTTATCGTTGGTAATAGTTTCACTTAATTTAATTGATGTTGCTTTTAATGAAAAATATATGTTGTATAGATCAATTTTTTTAATTTTTAAAGTAAAAAACTTAAAAAATTATCTTTAAATTGTAGTATGTTAAAATTATTAATACATACTTCAAAATAATCAATGATAAGGATTCATGTATTACTTTTTAATATTTTTGAACGAAATTAATTTTAAAGGTTTTTATATATAAAATACAAAGCAAACTCTATTTACTGTGATGGTTTTTGTTACTTTATTTTAAATATTGAATGGAAACATAGTATGAAATAAATATAATATTTTTACTAATTTTTAAGTTTATGTTATTAGGTAAATATAAATCAATATTTTTTAAAAATAAAATAATAATCTTATCATGCTAAGAAATAAATACTTATTGTTTAAAAATTATTTAATACTCATTATTTAATTATAGATGAAATCTGTTAGTTGTAATTTTTTAAAAATTATAAAAAATATAAGTGCAAATTATTAAATTAGAAGTAAAGTTTACAAATTTTAATAATAGTGTTTAATTAATAATAAAAATATATATATATATTTTTAAAATAGTACCTTGTTAACGTCTAGTTACTGTTGAGAAAAGTAATTTCTACCCCACAACACGTGTCCTCTCTTCCCACTTCATAATCCCACTAAATTTTTTATCCGACCAAAAACACGAGTGCACTCTCATAGTTTCTTTATAATTACTATTGTGGTCATCATTTGCTTACTTTTTCGTGAATAAATTTGAAAACTCATAAAAAATTATACCTACCAAACCTAAGGTCAAGAAAAAAAGTAGTCTATCAATTTTCCCTATGAAATATTTCATGTCAAGTAATTAATATTTATAATTACTAATTTTAAGGATTGAAATATATATTTTTACAATCGTAGGGATCAAATCAACCTCTATTTATAATTGTTATAGACTACTTTGATACATGAATTGAAGAAAAGAAAAAGATACATTCACAATGTGAAATTAATCTTAAAAGAGAGAAAAAGGAAAAGCTACCCTCACAATGTAAAGTGGAGGGTGACGGTGTAGAAATGGTATTAAAAAAGATGGTATCTTAAACTCTCTAAGTAACTGAGCCAATATATGTTGAAGTTGAAGTTCAACCATCCAAAAATTTTCCATCACTACTCATCAGGCATGTAAAATCCTCCTCCATTTCAGATTTAAAGGAAAACTCTGTTCACCCAAGTTTTGGACCACCCTATATCTGGTCAGTGTTTTTCTTATTCTAATTCTTTCACGGTTGAATTGTTTTTTCTTACGTTAAATATATTGTTGAAGTGTGTTTATAGTTTATTAAGAATGTATTTAATAGATACCTCTGGATTAGAAAGATGAAACGAAATAGAAAATAATTCAAAGGTTCAATGATGATTTTTTTTAAGATAAACTTACATTTTATTTTAGTTGTTCACAAATTTGAGCTTAATTTAACTTAATTAATAAATTAAATGAGTTTGACTTATCATTTAACAAATTAAACTCAAACAATTAACAAATATCTTAATTCATTCACCCTCATCGTCTTTTCTTTTTCTTCCTGCAGTCTCCTTCTTTATTAACTGTTTCATGTTAGATTAATTTTTACAAAAATACAACTATATAAAAATAATTAAAAGTTTAAAATATATTAAAATAATAATAAAAATATGTAAAATACATACGAAAGCTATTTTCACCATTACATCAACAGTTTTATGTTCGAACATAAAGTTAATATAATATTTGATATTATATATAATTACTTTTTCTGCTGGTATATACTAATATACACATCTAAAAAATATACCCCAAAATTAAGTAGATTCTGTTTTTTTTTGGTCAACTAGACGTAAGTGGACTTGATTCATGAGCTGACTCGTATTAAGCCCGAAAACATTTTTGGTCTGGCTTGTGAATGGGCCTGAAAATCATTTCCAATTTCTTGTATTTCAATTGGATTGGCAAACAAAAAAAGGATTATTATTATTATTATTATTATTATTACTAATGAGGTGTTTATGTTGAATGCATGCTGCTACATTTTAATTAGGATCAATACTAGATCATATAGACATTCTAAATACACAAACATAGAATGTTATTTAATTAAAAAAAAATGTAAAGCTCAGAAAGAAAATTAAATGCAAAATATAACATATTTACTTGTTTCATCTTAAACTTAAAATCGATATATCAAAATTAAAATGCCTAACACTCAATTTATTACATTTTGATTGC